AAGTAGATTTTAAAGGCTATGCATATGATTTTCAAAGATATCAACAGAATATGTAACAGTGATTACATGTATATTTATTTTCAGACTACAGGAGTAGCTCTGCTAGCCTCAGCAGCCTAATAGAAAAGACAGACAAGGTGATTTTCACCATTGAGGTTAATGGGGAGTCTTGTGATATAGTGTCTGCCTCCCCCTTCTTTACGCCCACGTCTTTCCCCTTTGTTTCTGTCTATTAAGCGTAGCACCGAGTCATTGCTTAACAGCATCTAGCTATCAGTGTAGGGAAATAAAGGGATTACCAGTTACTGGACAAATAGAGTTAACAACAGTGTGAGTAGGTGGTATGGAGAGACAAGGAAAGACAAGGGAAGTAGAAAAAAATGATGTGGATTCTATCTGTGATGGCACAAGTAATGCTCAAGACCACTTTAAGCCCAATGTACTTACACAAAAAACTGGATAAGATAGTAGAAACAAATATGCCTGTCATTGTGTGGGTGACATTTTCTGATATCCACTCATGTCCTCATCACAGCCAACACAGAGATCCTACCTTTTTAGAGAAGTAAAATAGATCAGGTCTCTTCTGACACCATAAGCCTTTGTGATAGTTACTACTATCTCTCATCAGCACCCATACAAAGTGCATTGTGTTTGGCCTTTTTTTTTATTTTTTTTAGAGCCAATGAGCTAGTTTATGGACAGAATGTCGTGGTTTATGAGGTGATTATAAATCTGTTTGGATGGGTCATTGTTTTTATGAACTGATTTACCACTTGGTTATGGTGTTTAGGTCATAAGGTTTAACTCAGGCAGTGAAATGGGCACTGTGACTGTATAGAGTGTCACACCATACACAGTGGTGCTATGGTAATGAAAACACAACCCCAAAACAACAATAAAAAAGTCCTTCTATGTTTTTGTCTTATCGTGGAAGATAAATCCAGTCCTGCATCAGACCAAATTACAAATCCATCTCTCTGGTTATACCTACTCCAGATTGTTTGTTTCAATATGAATTTGTATAGGACTTGATGGAGGACAGGGAATTGGCACTCACTATATGAATGTAGAAGCACATGGGGTATGAGCTGTTACACACTGTTACACCACCACACCACTAGGGGGCCATCTACTATTTAAGCTCATCAAATACAGTCACTTCACTATGAGACAGCGCTGAAGTAGTAGATGAGCAGCTACATGGAGTAAGATTATAGTTTGACACTGTCTGTATGATTGGAACTACAAATAATTATGGTCTTGAAATAGCAGGCTTTGTTTCATGCACACATACAGTATGAAGTACCATACTCGAAATTACCTGTTCGCTAAACCCCGCCCCCCTTAGTTACTGTTGCTAAGCCTGTCAAGCTTTCTGTTGTTGCATGGCATGTATGGTGTATGCCATGATCTGGTGGCAGATTTGGCATCAAAATTGTTGCTCATTTTTGATCTCAGACAGAGGTGGACAAAAGCAGGTTTCTTATTTTCGGCTGGTGACCGTTAATTTTGCTGTCACTGGCAGATTTTCTCAGCTGTAACTTGCTAACTTATTAAGCTAGAGTTAACTTTAGCTACGTGAGTTGGTTGAAAACAATGTTTCTGGCAAGCTTTTTCATGTTTTCAGCTGACTTATTTTGAAATGGACATCTTTATAGAAGAGTCTTAAATATGCACTATATGGCTACACATATTATATGATGCTAAAAGATTAAGCTATAGCTGCATGTCCCAGGCAAAAAGTCAGCATCCTCAGTATTTATGTAATCTATTAATTAGTCTAGTACTGTATTATAAGAATAATAAGGCGAAATGTAAGAAAAGACTGTTATTTTGTTCCATTATAACTTTTGGCTGCACAGCTTACATACTTGCCTTTAACTTTAAGTGTTACACAAGTAATGGATGAAGACTGACAGATGTGTTTGTCAAACTTAACTCTATGTGCTACCGTTAATGTCATAGTAAGAAATTTAGCCGTATGTGCTATAAACTCCCTTTTTAATTCATTCCTTACACTTTTGCTCTTGCGTTTTTAGTTTCGGAAAGGCTAGGAAAAAAAAGACCCTTCAAACTCTTTAAATATTGAGTGTCGCTTTTAGTACAGCCACCTGCACAGTGCTTCAACATGTGAAGCATGTTGAGCAATCTGAAGCTCGACAGGCCTGCCATGCCTAGTTATTGTTGTAAAGTTATGACCGGACTGGGGGGAGGTTAAGTGAATCGTCAGTTACATATGAAATATACATTTTTAAAGCCCAGAAACATACAGTACGCACAGTGGCAAACTATGTGATACATACAGTGACATGTAGCGCATCAACTCATCAACCTTAGAGTGAGTTAGAGGGGCTCTATTGCGGGATGTTTATGCAGGGTTTAGCATGTCTTACGTTGACTTTCTTTGTAAACGAGTGACGCTCTGCGCACTAGTGATGGCTCCGTGTTGTGCCTTGGTGGTGGGGGAGGGGGGACCTGTGGTGGACGAACACCGGCCGTGGTGGTTAGAAGGGGTTACAGGTTCTTTAGGGTCAGGGTTAAAATACCGTTTAGGCACTTTAAAGAAGAGAGGGGCCTGCAAAAGTCAAGGGGGTCAATGAGTTTTTGAGGCATCATTGCTTGAGGTAAATGACTCATTGTTAGGTAGGTATGGGGGACTGGCTAGCCTCCCTTTTCATTCAAAGGTGAGACGCAATAGTGCGAGTATCAACTTTTACAGGACAGAAATGTAATTATATATGATATTAAATGACAGCACTCACATAACATTTGTTAAAATCGCTATCTGTGTTTTTCATATGGCACAGAAACGAGGTCAGTCAAGTTGTTATGAAACAATTATATCCTTACTCATCCTGTAGTTGTCTCCTAAACACAGTTAATGTGCTTCAAACAGGTGCAGTGCAACACACTGATCTCAAATGTAAAACAGATACAGACATTACACAGACATGGAGGAACACAAACACATACACACTTATGCCTACAACCACACACACAGAGACCTGCAGCAACACACGGCACTCTAATATGCGTAGTGTACAGACACACACACACACACACACACACACACACACACACACACACACACACACACACACACACACACACACACACACACACACAAACACTCTTCTCATCTCCATAATTATTGTATAGTCAGCATGTCCGTGTCTGGGGGTGACTCTCAAAGTGAGATGTTGACAACAGCAGAGCTGAACTCAAGCTGGGTCCTGTCAAAGGCCTGACACTGATAGCATTATCCGTGTAATTATTCACAGTTAAGTGAACTGCCTACTTACTTTTAACATAATGGATCTGGATGAGTAAGCCACATCTATGCTGCACTTTCATTTCATAACTTATATGACGTCACTAATCCCGTGGAAATATGCATTCCATTTTGTCTTAATTTGTTTAAATACAGCCAATCTATTATTTGGGGCCAGGCTTTCATTTCTTTTACATTTAATCTTAAAGCACACCTGAGCTTCCTCTGAGGCACGTTAGCATGCTGCAGTGCAACTGTTGAGAACCGCAGACTTCTAATATATGGTTCATGCAAGTAGCCATTTTTCTTCTCTCCCATAAAATATTGACTTGGCATTAATTAATGGGGAGTCGGCCAAAGCTTCTGAAAATCTTGATCAAGACATTGAGTAAATGAGGAGTGAAAGAAAAGGCCCGCTGGTCTGGCATTGGGAAATGGCAGTGTGTTTGTGTGAGTGTACAGTATGCGTGTGGCTACATGGCACAGGGAATATGAGAGATGTCAGCCTGGCCCTCTGTTCATCTACTAGTGGTGTAAATTAGATGTGAACCAGCATGCCGTCTTCGCCAGGGGAAAGTACACCTATCAAGGTTGGCTAACTCATCACGGCTCTACGCACTGAAGCTCCGCAGATGAGGGGAGTGCGGGCATGCACGCGTGTGTTTAATTCTTAATGAAACTGGCCCTCTGAAGGTCAGCGCAGAGCAAGCAGGGACTCTTTCGTCTGCTGCTAATGGTGTATTAATGATTAAAGAAGTCTCATGCTCACAGGAGGCCACCCAAGCACCCTGCTGACACGCACACCCACCTAACCACCCACATAGACACACGAAGAAACACCGTCACATACAATTCACAGACAATGAATCCAATTAAACAGACACATAAACCAGTGTGACACAGGCATAGACAAAGCACTTTTAGTGTATAGGCATGTGTTGTTGTTTTTTTAGCATTGCATTATGGTCAGGTGAGGTGATTTGGTGAGCGTGAGAAGAAATATTTTCACAGCTTTTAAAATTGTAATAGCTGTTTGGATTTCATTAAGTAACTATGATTGATTATCCCTCAGCTTAATGCTTATGTGATCAACTGTTTTGACAGGTGTTTAATAAGGCACCGACCACAAGTGAGAATGAATTAAGTTCAGGCCAATTACAGCAGGTCTAAAAATATATTTACAGTAAGAAACCTGGAAAAAAATCCTGCTCTTAAAGTTATATTCATGAGGTAGTTATTGTTCGATTCTCCATGGATGTGATAATAAGTACAACAATGAATTAATCAAATGGCAATGAATTTAGATACACCATTCACATAACATTCCCTTCCCAAGTTCCCTTGTTAGAGTGGACAATATTTTAATATTTCTAAGGCAGCAATTTGGCTGGGAAAAAGACAACATAATGAATAAAACCTCTTTAAAAGAACTACCTTGTGGTGTATTAGACTGGGAGCCTTGCTCAGAATCTTTATGACTGTAATTGTCTTAAGAGCTGCTTTTACTAATAAGTAAATGCAATGTCACTATATAGCTGATAATTAGCCAGTGCAGAACAGTTTCTGTATATTTCTGCAATCGGCGCAGAAGTCAGTATTTGCTTTCCAGTGTGAATTCTTTTAGTGTTAAACGGGTGGGGTTTATGGGGTTGTGATAAAGTGCGGGAGGGGGTGGAGGTGCATGGGTTCAGTGGGTTCCCATCCCGCATTTGGGCAATGGTCTTACCTTCAATGTGGACATGGCTGGGTCCCTGCTATACCTGTCTATGGTGTGGAACTTGGACGAGTGGTTGAGCTCATGGTACAGCTCAGAATGTCTTTTGCGAGTGTGCATCACTTTCTGGAAGGGAAGAAAGGAAGGGACAGCAAAGATGAACCAAATAGAAACAAAAAAAAAGCAAAGGGAGGGGAGGGGGGGCTGGGGGGGGGGGCAATATAGGGGCAGGCAGGGGAATGGGTACAAGGCTGAGGGAACTGCAGTGATGTCAGCCATGAAAAGGGGTTAGAGAGGGACGCTGACAGAGCTATCGATTGCTGGCTCATGCTCATACATCATCCACTTCCTTAGTCTTTAAGAATTTGGCAACTGGGAGTGCTGCAAAGGAGTCCTTTAAGTGAAAATTTGGTGAAAATGACTGACAGAAATGTCATTGCTACAGACTGATGCCTGCTAGAAGGTGGCCCTGTTAACTCAGGATTTTGTTGAACTCATTAAACGCCTAACAGATGGACTGGAATTTAACACTTGCCCTAGCGAAAAGGATATTTGACAATCCTGCCTTCCATGTGTTTTGAATAAGTCCGTCTAGAAGGTAGCGAAATCCAGATCTTTAATTTTCTGACAGCAAACTGCATATGTCAGTGCCACTGCTGTTGTCTCTCTGTGCTAATGGGCAGTGCTGGAGCTGCTCGGCAGTAGCTAATCGTCAAAGCAGCTTGCGAGGTTGAAAGTGACACAGGGGCAAAATGCCAGTACTCACACCCGCACACTTACTGGCCAGAACTAGCGCTTAGCACAGGCTCCAATTACTTCAGAGTGGGCACTCTCATCTCTGCTCAACTAAGAACGTGCCACTAGTTCCTAGCTATGTGTCTTTTTGCTGCTATGTCTTAAGTTTTCCTTTTTTATGTTTGGCATGTTCTTGTCCGAGTCATATGGTTTTAGTTTTTCATGAAAGTCCAACGAAACCTGAATAAACTAAAGAACACTACAGGGTAACTCCAATGATTTTATGCTTAAAGTATAGTTTACTTGTCCCGAGGAGCACTACCCAGTCTCTAAAAACAGTTGTATAAGTTCTTCTGTGGTTCTGGAGGAGATAGTGAAGTAGCGATGAGAAAGCCTGTGGGTATCAGGCTAATGAAATACACTTGCAAGTCCCTTAACCTAACTTTAAGTACAGTACTAAATCAATGAAGCACTCCTATAAGTTTTCAGAATACTATTATTTCCCCTGAAATACTTACTTAGTCAAGTTTAAAGCTGCTTAGAATGCTAAACTTATATATATATATATTTGACCGTCTAAAAAGAAAAAAAAACATGGATGAAAGTTCCATTAAAGTGTAGACTTCCCTATTTAAGTGATTCTTCTACGTCACCCTCTTTCTCAAATGTCAATAGTCAATTGATGAGAAAAGAGTTGATAAGAATCCCCTTGTGCTAAATTCATGCAGTGGCCATAAATGACTCTCTAGTAAATTTGCCAGATAAGTAAAACAATAAGCCATAGTCACTGTTAGTAGCTGTTCACCACACATACCCTCTGTATGAAAGACATATGTCCATGGTGGAGGGTGAATGTCCAGTCTTTACAACAGTCCAAATGAAAGTGAACTCTCACCAAAAAGCAGCAATGCAAAGGGAGGTACTGTATTGTATAGCAAACGAATGCTCGCTAGAGACTGGAGATTCACAGGACACCCGGATCATTCTAACACAAACATACTCACACGCTGCCAAACCATGTCGTTCCAACAGATATACCAGCCAATCAACTACGGCCGCATACGAGTTTCTTACTTGTATACTTGTATTCATTCAGACACAAGAAGCACTCTACTTCGCTGTTTCTTCAACCAGGACCCCCATAATGACATGACAGCATTGTTTGATGTAATTGTACATGTCAGTGGGATGTTTTTGTTTCCACGTTGCTATGACTAACTGACACATAAATTCACTGAGACAGATAATGAGCAGGGACAGGTCTAAGGCCATTGTTGGAGAAACAGCATACTAAAAGGTAGGTCTGAAACAGTTCATAGTTCTAAATGCAAGGGAAAAACAGGTGCAAAGGGAGGGGTTTAGCAATGCTTTTAGCTCCTCTATGCGTTACTCAAGTCCTGGCAGAAGCACAAGAAAGCAGAGGCAGGCTGATGACGGGGTGAGGTCCGAGATCTTACCTCGAAGTCCAGCTCAGAGTACCGTACTCTTTTCCTCTGGAAGAGGAGGGGGCAGGGGGAGAGAAGAAAGCATCAATGATCACCCCTCGACCAACTCTATCTCCAGTATATCTGTGGATCTCTCAGTGCCATTGTTCAGTTACAAGAGGGGGGCTAATATGCACAGGCTGCCCAACATGATACAGACATTCTTACAAATGTCATGGCAAAAAAGCAGATTATTCAGTCTATTTCAACGTAATGAGATTAGTGAAGTGGAATAACCCAGAATTAGAATTAAATAATAATTTCTCGGCTCACAAACTCTCAAATACAATCATTACAACCCTGGCATAAATCATCCTCCTTGCTATTTTTGGAGAATTTGTTGGAGAAATTCCGATTAAAAGGGCTGCAACAAACATACGAGAAGTGGTTTTTCATCCTCTAATCTTGTTTGGACCCCACCGCTCTCCTCTTAAGTGCCTCCATAGCTATAGCGAGTGGCACACAAGCTGCCAATTTAACAGCTGCAGACATTTCCAACTCATCTGGCCCTGACATTGCATTGCATTACATTCCATCTCTGACTTCCTATCTGGCTCTCGCTGTCTGCCAGATTTGCATTTGGCAGTAAGAGGAGCTGCTCTCCACAGTTAGTTAAAAGCTGTATTCATTCTTTGAAGGGGCAGAATTGCTGATCTGATGTTATGGCAGCCAAGGTTTTAAAAGGTAAAGAAATGCAAACAGAGAGAGCGAGAGAAAGAGAGAGGCAAGTTTCTCTCTGACATGTCACTTTGTGAATTCCACTGCCCCTAAAACATAATGCATTTACTGTCCTATGGAGAAATCCTTACCTTAAACAGAGAGATTCCATGACTCAGTTTGCTTTGTAATATGGTAGACATGCAACATGCATATACATGTACAGTATATTGCATGTTTCGGTGGGAACACACATAAAGCAGTCATTAATGCACTCATACAAAATTCATAAGGAATCCTTTGCTGCTGTGTTTTGTTGCTATGATGGCATGAAGGTTCTACAGCCAACCAAAGTCACACACTTTTTTACATTTGTTTGCATGTATTCAGTGTTGTAAATTGTACGATAACCTGACCTCCATAACCAACGGTATGTGGGTTTGTACAATATTGGAATAACATGGCCCGTGAACCTTTCTCACACCTTGAGTAGATCATTTGGAGTTTGAATTTACAAGCCTCTTACGTAAAATCAACAGTGAAATGAACACTGAGTACATTTGCGTGATCCCTCCATTATGCATCTCCATGTTTGAATTGGGGAGTAAAACTCTGCTGTGATTTAATCTTGAGAGGCACGCTCTGATATCCATCTCCAAATCAAGCATATTCAAACAGGGTGAAATTATAGCAGTAAATTACATCCCACAGGTTTCTCTGCAGGTTTTTTTTTTTTTTTTTGGTATTCATGAGTGCACTCGCAGCTCTTCTGACAGTGATTTTTTATGAGTTTTAATGACGTGTCCTTAACGTCCTCAGCCCTAAATGAAGCATCTGCACTTTTCGGTAAAAGCGTCGTTTCCATCTCTTTAATCAACCTTGTGAGTCAGCAAGATGCCATTGGGGAGGGGGGAGATCCAAAGTGGGTGTGTATGTGTGTGTTTATGTGGCCATGTTATGAAGTGCATGTTTTTGGGTGTATGTATGTCCGAGTGTGTGTGTGTGTGTGTGTGTTTAAAATTAAGGTGGTCTGAAAGACATTCACCAGGGGTATTTCCCCTGATCCTGTCCATCTGCTGTGCCATCTTGTATGGTTAGGAGGGGGTCTCCCACACTCAAACACATTCCACTGACTTACACACTCACACACAGCAAACTACGAAGAATCTGTCTGTCATTAAGAGAATAACTCATTTCAATGCTCATTGTCCCAACCAGCAGCAGCAAATACTCATCTGAAAATAATAACACTTGTTATAGCAGACTTGTTCAAAGGCACATCACTATGCTATTACCACAGTGTGTTGGACATATTATTACTGTATATCACGGACAGTATGTACACACTTGTGTAATTATATGGATGTTAGCCATACAAACTGACTTCTTGTCTTCCCATATTCTGCTGTAGCCATGAATATTAATCATAACATTTAATTTAGTGTAGTATAGAATCTTGCATCTTCTTTTTCTCAAGGTAAAAGCAATGCTGATTGGATAAAATATTTTTACATTTTCCCAATGCACATTACTTTTTTTTAGCTATAGCTCTTTTCTTGATGTGTCACTGCGTTAGATGCAAATGGTGTTATTAGCATTTTTCTTGCATAGAATATTTGAAAGTGTCTAAAATCCTTGCATAAAGAGAATGTCACATTAAATAACTGCACCTTTTCTGCAGAGAACTTTCCTTTCCCTTGCTTTCTTTCTCTCCTCTTTGTCACTCCACCATTACAACTTCACTTATACAGCCACACCACCACCACATCCATAACTGTAATCCTCAATGTGTGCTCAAATGAAAGGTGAACATAGTGAAGAAGCAGCACCACCAACAGGTACCCCTCCTTCCCTCAACCTCTTACCCACCTCCAGGGATCCTGCTGAGTGGCTGGTGTTGGCATTAGTGCTGCCCAGGTTGCGAGGCAGGGTCCTGGTTCTTTCCACTGTGGTCCCCCCTGTCAGAATCTGTCTAACCGACGGCCTCTGGCCTGGCTTCAGCTGGAGCGAATGCCCGTGGGAGTGCATGTGTCCTCCGTGGGAGTGTACAAGACTACCCTGTGCCATCATGTGGCCGTGCCCGTGGGGCATGGTTTTGATCGTCCCATAGGAGCGGTTGAGGTTCATGGTGATGTTCATGTCACCCACACTGGACGGCACAAAATCCGCAGGGTAGGCCTCACTCTCAGCTGGGTGTAGGGTCAGGGGAGAGGGAGGCGGGGGGAAGGGGGGGTCCTCCACTGCAATGTTGAGAGGCTTGTCCTCACCCCCCAGTCCCAGACCTCCTCCTTGGGAGGAGGGTGCTGGAGGTTTGAGACTGACCGTCCTACGAGGCAAGACCATGTAGTCTCCCTCCCCGCCTCCGCCACTTCCTCCTCCCCCTCCACTTCCCCCGCTTCCAGCACTTCCGTCCTGGGAGGTGTTGGAGGAAGCGGGCGGTCGAGCCCAGCCCAGGCCACTCTCAGTGCACAGGTAGATTGGAGCACCGCTGCGTTGCTGCCCCTGCTGTCTCTGCTGATCCACATTCACCTCCTTCTTTAGGGGCGTCTCGCTCAACTCATTGAGGCCGCCGAGCGTTGGAACCTTGTGGAAAAATGGTTTCCATTATACAATTATTTACCGGAGGCAAGATGATATATATATATATATATAGTCTTGATTCAGATAACTTCCTGTGTCAAGATTCAATATTTAAAAATTTGTTAGCGATGTTGCTAGTCTTCATAATACTAGGGACATCTCTTTCACCTCCTATTTAACTACATTTCAATCTAACATTAAAGCCACGTTTTGTATATTTTTTGTAATTTAAAGTAAATGAAATGGGAGGGCAATTGATATGTACAGTATTTAGTTCTTTCTAGTTGATTGTTTATAGTTTTTGGGCAGAAAAGTGCTACACAAATCATCAAATCAATGTAAACTTCAAACCAATCCATACCTGTACGATGAGGTTGGGAGGGGGGATGTTCCCGGGGAGGGAGTTGAAGTTGACCCCCACTCCCCCCTCCTGATGGGCTGACAGCTTGGGATCGTCCTCGTCATCCAGGGAAATACGGGAAAGGGTGCCAGTGATGGTGGCCGGGTTGCAGGTGTTCACCTCCTTGAATATGACTGGAGTTAGATGCGGAGGGAGAAAAGGGAAGCAGTGAGGCCAGCAAGAGAGTGGGGGATAGGCGTGAGAGAGGGGAGTAGGCGTTAGGGTAGTCGGCAAAAGAAAGAAAAGAAGAAGCGGTGAAGAGTTTAAGGGTGGGGTAAAAGAAGAAGAAAAGGTGAGGAAGAGGAACATTCAGAGGGAGAAAGATGAATGGATAATGAATGGAAAGGGATTCATTTAATGTATGCCAAACAGAAGACTGCAAAACAGTTACTTAAGACATAAATTCGGTAGTGATAAAAGTTTGTTTGCAGCTTTCATGTAGCTGTGATGCAGACTGCATCTCCAATGAAAGTTTCACTTCTCACACTGGACTTATATGGTTCACAGTAACTAAGTAAGAGTTCTGTCTCTGACACTGTGACCTTAAGTCTTGCTCCATCTTGAGATTTGCCTGTGAGCCAGGATTTTTATTAGCTTGGATAAAGAGCCTTGCTGCAAAATGTTGAGTGCTTCAAATGAAATGGAGCCAAATTCCCTCCTTACTGACTCCTGTCCCACATCTTGCTCACCATCTTATTATTCCCTGCCCTGTTGTTATATATTACTGAGTCTGTGTGTTTATGTGCTTTAATACATGTGTATCATTGTGTATTTCTGTATGAGGGCCAGTTTGTATGTCATGATACTGTAAATAAAACAGAACATAAAAGTGGTGCTTTGGGTTACCTGGCATACATGTTGTTGAGGAAAAAAAACTTCAAACAGATCCTATGCATTTCTAGAATAGCTGCTCTAAAATTAACTATGACATGCTGATGAGAGACAAGGTTTAATCAGAACTAACATCAATCTATCATCACAATCAAACACAACTCAAACCATCTGGATGTTCATGCTAGATATCATGCTTATTCTGTCATCAGAGGAAAGAATATTTACTCTGTGGCCCACAACATATCAAACTACACGTTTTATCAAAACAATTTAAGCTAGATCCCGCTGATTTCTGAGCATACCAACAAGGGCACTGACTGAGTACAGAAACAAACATTTTCTCTGTGTTCACCATCCTGTTGGTGCAAAGTGACGGGAAATGAGTGGACAGGTTTTGGGAAATCTGACCAATCTGATCCCTTCAAATCTGCATCAAACAGAGACCCAGAGAACGACCCATAGACGAATCCATTGGTTGTTTTATGTGTTGCGCTCTCAAGTACTACTACCATTAGTGAGGTGGCATAGTTCAACTGAACACGCTTACTCTGAGAGACTGAAAGCAGAGATGTTCAGGTTGGCATTCGCTACCTCTTACAGATGAAGGTACTCTGTGTGAATGTGAAAGTTTCAGTCTAAAAGCACTAGTCTTTCATTTTTATATTCTTTGGGGGACAAAAAGAACATTAATGTACCTCTCCCACAGTGCGGATGTCAAAGTGCTGTGTGGAATAATGCAAGATTAAACCCATCAGGAATTACTCGCTATCTTATGATTTTAATCAAACTCAATGATTTCTTGCATTGTTATCAGAATAAATTCATTATTTAATAAAAATTTGAGATCGGGGCACTGTACAAATAGAATTTTGGCCAGAAATTGTAAGAAAGTACCAGCTAGCAAAATATATACTCAGTCTTGAGCAGTAACCTTTAATTTAATTGGGGTGATGACTACAATGTCAAAATGTAAAAGGTTTTACAGGATTTCTTGGCAAAAGTGCATAAGAAGTGATATCTTTTACAAGCATTACAGAGTTATATGCAAGTTTACAAATGCCGGGCCCTCTCTTTAAGCAGGCTACATGTAGGCCAGAAACTTTTGTTAAACAGCCTGCAGGTAAAATAAAAGCCAACATCTCTATGCCGGCGTGACTTTTAAGTTGAATCTAAAAACTGTATTTCTACTAAGCCCATAAGAGGGGAGGACAACAGTCTTTCCTCATGCTTCCACTGCCAGTGTAAGCTTCAGCGCTGAACTTTGTTTCCCTAGGTGAAGGTCTAACTCGCTGGTCGAGTAGGACTGTTTTCTTTTATTTCTCTTTTGTTTTTTTGAATCCTGAAATAGGTCATTGTACACAACATAACGGTCTCATACCTGCAGAAGAAGATAGGCTTCCACTGTTATTTTACTGAGAGATGGATAACTTGACGCTTTGATCTTTCGACCCGCTAAGTCGACTCCACTGTTTTTCACAGCTGCTCCTAAGAATCTGCAGATTACCTCAATGGATTACCTAAATGGACTGATGCATTATATTGCCGTCAATAGCAATTTCAAGTAAGAGGCTGATGTCTGGGCAGAGATTAGGTTTATTACTGTGTTATTGTAACGTGAAGCTTCATTGTGGTGATTTTCTGTGGGATATAACTGCCCGCTGCGCCCTGTTTATTGCGTTTAGTGTTTTCATGCTTAGCACGTTAAATTTTGCATCAGCACATTTCTGCTGGGCCTTTACTTGCTGTGTTCCTCACACTGTGTGTGAAGCCAACAATGGCGCTTTATCAAGACTCCAGTAACACAACTGTTGAATGAAAGTTCGCTGCCGGTTCTTGTGTGATAAAGTGGCAGTTATTGTGTTTTACCACTGTAATCAGGATTCAGTGTATTTTTAGCTGTGTTAGTTCCTGCTACTGCGCGCAGAGTCAATGGCTATACTTTATTGTAACCCTAACCCCTAACCCTTCACTGCTGGGTACTGTGTGATAAAGTGTTAGTTATATTGTTTCTAGCTGCGGCAACAGTGACCTGATATACCTTGCTCTGTGTGCCCTTTTCTCTTTCTCTCTTCCTGCACTAACTAGCTGTGCGCCATCTTGGTGAGGACAGGTAGAGTTGTTCCGCCATTTTGGTTCTTAACCCCTTGCTTAAGGTCAGCGCACCTGCCTGCCATTTTGGATCATTGCATGACGAGCCACCCACGTGGTCACGTCCGACATTTTCTTTACTCTTCCCCCCTTTATTGACCCCCCCTGTTGATGTAAAATAGTGTTTAAATATAATTATATAATTAATCTTTATTAAGAATTTTGTAATACTTTATTACTTATTATTTTGCTAATAACCAACCCTACCCCTGTCATATACTAACACAGGTGAGGTGCCACTGCAGCAATGTAGGCTTTTTTACTTCCACATAACCCGGATTCGTCTATGGGAATTATATAAGTCTAGGGACAAGCCAGGCACTGTTAAGGAGGTCAATAGTTCATGGTGCAAAACTTACATGGGTGTCCTCTCTCTGCAAGGGTGGAGGGGGAAAGTGACTGTATTAATATTTCAAAGCACAAAAAAACAGCATTGTGGTACATTTGTAACACACACACACACACACACACACATACACACACACACACAAATGATTATTGTCACCAGTGAGTGACAGATCTCTGAACACATTAAGGAGTTGTTATTATCATGCACAATTAAACACATTCTCATCCAAACATATGCTCGCTAAACACTTGTTGGGCAGAATCAGTGTGATTGATAAGGCATAATAATTTGTGCACAACTGTGTCGAGATGTAACACATCACCTCATCTCATTTTACCAACATGCACAGCAGCAAGCTAAGAATATTACAGCCCTACGAGACAAAGGGAGAAAGGGAAAAAGGAGAGCTCACCTGTTTGACATGCCAAGTCCACATCCTTCTCAAAATCCGTCTGAGAGAGAGAGACAGGGTAGGAAGAGAGGAAAGACAATGAGTGTGTATAAGTCACTACATTCAGCACATCAGTAGAGACGTGAGGCCTGATGAGTGATCGGATCTCGAGTGGTTATGCTGTATCCAATGACTCTGATGCTCTAATTTAGCTCTGTGGAAAAGGATATGATCTGTTGGCATGGTGACATGTTACAACTCAGTCAATTAGTAAGGCCCTCTGTGAATGAACAAAAAAAGTTGCCTTAAGTCATACAAGAAATGTTCAGTTTCCATTTCTTTACTGAATATGTCCAAAGCCTTTCCAAACTAAAAAGAACAGAGAAAATATTGAAAAGTCTGCGTAATGGCATGCACTACTGCTGCTCTGTTCATGATGTATATCAGTTCACAGCAGCAGATCAAAATACAGTCTTTGAAAGAGACAAGGAGAACGCTGTGGAGTTTTGCCAGATATGTAATGCTACTGTATGCCTCATCAGTCACCTCGCTATGGGGACAGGGACAGAAATATACACAGCAGCAAAACTATTATCTGCTGTGCCGGCTGAAGCAAAACTTTGCCGTCTCCTAGCTGAGCTTTTCTTAGATTGAAATAAATATATGTAATGTAAGAATACAAATGCTTCTACATACAAGACTGAGTTTAACCTGCACTCAGTATTCAGACTTTATGTAGATACAGTATTTTGGGAGCAACAAAAAATAGTGTTTATTTGCTTTGATCTGGAATTCACTTGAGGAATCCAGTGTGGCACTTCTCCGTGTGGTAAAGAAACACTCCCAAACCCAGAGGGCGGTGGGCTGAATGAAGAAGGGCTGCCAAAATGGCCAAGTTTCCTGAACTTTAGGGAAAGTGAAGCTCATTGCTATGCAGTTGTGGTCCTCGCTTGTCTCACGATAGAGCCTCCTCCTGTCCTCGGCGGGATTCACTTACAAAAGCCTTTGTTTGGATAATAAACTACAGATTTTAGACAGTTTGGGCACACCACAGAGGCAAAGAGAAGAGGAAATGAAAAACTGAAAGAGAGAAGGATAGAATGTGTAAAGGTCTCAGAGGAGTGGAAAAGCTCTCTGTACGCAAATCACCCGCAGCACCATAAATGGGTTTCTGCTAAATGGACGAATGCGGATTTGAAAGCAACCTCTCTCTCTTTCACTCAATCTCTCTCTCCAAATTAAGAAAAACAAATCATCATTTTAACTCTAATACACTCTTTCTGCAACAGCATCACAGGTTAAGTACAGTGAATCATCAAAGTCAACTATCTGGAAAAAACACCACAGGGGAACACAGTCCTATTGACTCAGTTAACATCCTGTAGCTTTCACTGTTCATGGTGACTTTAGTGCTGAAGTTAAATCAATTGAGCAGATGCTCAAAGATATATAATAAGTATATTTTTTGCTTACCTTGCTACAGTAAAACAGCTAGTTTGTAGTTATACAGCACAGCTATTCCTACTTAGATTTAAAGGTGCAATATGTAATCAAAACAAAACTAAATTTGGTTATTTTCTTACTTTTTTGGTTAAAGGAATAGTTTGACATCTTGGGACAAACATTCATTGGCTTTCTTGAGAGTTAGATAAGAAGATTTATGCTAAATATGAAGCTACCGCCAGCATAGCTTATTTTAGCAGGGAGCCTCGAAACAGGCACAGACAGCTAGCTGGCTCTGTGTGATGCTAATATACTATGCCTAACAGCCTCGCTAACATCCCTAATTAGCATGTTATGTCATGTTTGTATAAATACATTATATTATAAATGATATATGACACATTGTGGTTTCACGGGGGGTTATGTGCCGGACTATTTCTTGGCTAGGCACAGTGACTTGCAGAGTGAGTCTTGTCGTCAAGAGCTGTTAAGAGCTGTTTCGCCCTGTTTCCAATCTTTGTGCTAAGCTAAGCTAACCAGTTGCTCACTGAAGCTATATATTTAGCGTACAGACATTAGAGTGGTATCGACCTTCTCATCTAACTCTTGGCACTCTCAAAATGTCAAACTATTCCTTTTATGTTTGTTCATATTTGTTGTGAAATATAGTTTTACAGATTCCACCTTTCTCCATCTATAGACTTGACTATTCATTATGACTAATGATGTTGTCATTTCTACAGGTGACATACTGGTTGGCTGCCGTTGTGGTTGTGGCTATGGCTATGAGCGTGGGTCTGGGTATTGTTCAGGAAGGGGTTATGCTCATCATGTGTGTGGCTGAGGGCGTGGCTGTGCTCTAGCCCCTGGTTTCTGCGAGGTAGACTGTGGTAACAGGCTTGTTGGCATGTCTGGTAGCACGTCGGTTGGAAAGGCTGTGGGTAGCAACCCAACAGGCACGTGGATTTGCCATAACGCTGAGAGCCACACTGCTGCCCACAATGGTTCACATTTGGACCCTTCTGATGGTATAAAAAAATAAACAAAGTTGAAATGTTAAAGGAGGACATATAACCCGTTTGTAGAGGAGAACACTGATCTTTAATCAGAGATTAACTAATCAAATACTTTTTCTAAAGACGGCTATTCAACTTTAACAAGAAGGTGTAGTTACAGTTCTACATCTTTATGATGTCTCTAAATGTCAGGGGTTTAACATTCTAATGAGATTTCCTGTGAATAAAACAAGGACACATGAGAGGAAGGTGTTCACTGTAATTATGATTCCGCTATAACTGGTGGTAGCTTTCACTAAATTATCCATCACAATTAATGTTCCCAAGGGTATTGTGTCTTTCATACAACAGCTCTCCATGCATATGTGCTATCTGAGAAGAGTCCTTCATCGTACACATTTAGACATTTAGAAAACTTGAAAAACGTAAAGTTTAACGAGCTGTCTTCAGAGCAATGGTTGGCACAGCAATTCACATCCACTATGAACTGTGTATATGATAATAACATTGAACCAAAAATTTAAAAAGCACAGTTACACTATAAATGTTCCTCTCTGTTATGAAAACAGAGACAGAGAATCTGTCATAATGGGTTCCCCGAGCAGAACGATGGCTCCAAAGTTTAATCTTGATAACCTCAGAGGGGTGTTCAGAAACCCATAATCGTTACCGCAAACAGGTCTGAGGGAGAAATAAAGGGAATAGCGCTGTGAGAGTCACTCATGCTCTCATACTTCCAGTGTGACCGTACTGACATTGGCAAAGCAGTTCAGGCCTATATGATTTATCACACTATTAGCCACATTTGGAACACACACAATAACCTTATTGGAGCTCTGTGCTCTTCAAATAAAGATGAACAAGTTTAAGTTAAAAGTAAATAAAGGTGCTGAAGTGTCTGTTTCGAAAATACATGAAGTGTTACGGACAATAAACAATAAATAGTGTTATCTTGAAGTAAATACAAAAAATGCCAAGTGATATTAATATTAGCAGGATATTGCTTCAGTAATGGCATCTGTTGGCAAAGTTTTATGTCCAGTGATAGGAAGTTAGTATCAGGCTGGGAGTGAAATTGCATTTCTATGGGTAATGAAATCAAACATTTTTGGAAAATAAAACATGAAAATGTATGATGCATAGACAATAATGAAATCCTGCTGAAAATTTGAGCACTTCATTAATGACAGTCATGCTTCTTGCTATTGGAGCTGAAACTTCTTGAAACCTCAGGCCTGGTAAATATTAATCTGGGACTAATGGATTGCAATATGGGATGAAATGGAATGCTATTCACCATGATCTGCACCTGTCCATTCTTGCAGGAGTCTGGTGAGTTTTCGCTGTCATCTTTACATCCCCCCATCCTACAGCGCACAGCATCCTGCACCTGAAGGGGGGTGAACAAAGGATAGGGGAATGGAGGGAAGAATATAGAGAGTCAAAGTGTGGGGGGGATGGTGAAGGGGCGATGCAAAGGAAAGAAGTTAGTGGACGAACTTTTACTTTTACTTAAGTTTGGCAAATGTTGGAGCATGGGGAACTCACTCCTCAGATATTTTATATTGTTCATCTTTATCGCTGCAATGACAGATGTTCAGAGAATGCTAAATTATGTGGAAGGGGCAAAGTAAACGGAAAAGCTTAATTCTTCACAAAGTAGCTCAGCTTGTAGCTTATATAACAGTCAGTGGAGTGGTATAGAAAGCACACAGCAGTTCTTCAAAGTGGCCTATTTGATCCTTGTGAGATCAGTGGTGCACAGTTCTAATTAAAACCAACAGCACGGTATATAGATGTTCTAACCCCTGGGCCTTTCCATTGTCACATTGTTTTTCTTTATCCTCCCACATATGGCATGCAGGCAAATACACACAAGCCCACTGTCACAGAACTTGTTCTTGTAACAGAGCTCAAATCAAATGGATCCCTGTGCATTCTATGTTTCACAGCCAACTCTGAGATTCTTTCCCCCCATCAGGCTCTGTATTATAGATAGCCTGGTTACTCGCTGAGAAGCAACATCATTTCTCAATGTTGCTGCTGTCAAATCCCATAAGAATCTCATGGCTGGAAACACGACTGCTTGTGTAAGACGTGGTGCAAAAGCGAACGAGAGCATCTTCACTCTCGCTAGGTGGTCTCATCTTTGAATGTGTGTGTGTGTGTGTGTGTGTGTGTGCTGCTACAAATGGAGTAGATTGGAGTAGCCTCCATGTCTGATTAATACTGCATGGGCTAGGGGTTTGCTTCCATTGTTTCCTTCCATCCGTCTCTTCTTTTTATGTCCATACTCATCCTCAGTGGCATTTATTCCCTGTTCTCTGTTAGTGTGAGTGTGTGTTGTTTGTGTACTGGCACCCACTGAAGCTTATTCTGACATCAAAGTGGAGAGCCCCCCTATGGGTCCATACCTCCTTCTCCACCTTCCTCTCTATTTCCTCCTCCCCTACTATCATCCCCTGCTCTGCTCTTGAATCACGTTTTTCCCCCCAACAGATCTCTGCATGCAATTTTTTTCTTCCTCCCTTTCCTCTCCACTCACCTAACCAAGTCACTCCCTTACTCTTTCCCACAATATACCTTTCCTTCACATCGCTCCCTTGTTTTCATCTCCTGCTGCCTCCTAATCACAACACCTCTCCTCCTTCTCGACTGATCTCAGTAGGCTGTCTGTGCTGCCGCGATCCTTTCATTCTCCGCTGCACACTACACGTAGCGGGCGCTATCTAGGAGCCCTACACTGCACTACACTCACTGTCACGTTTTATGTCTGTATGTTATGTTTTTACTTCACATAATATCACACTTTGTACTGCTTTCTCTCTTGTTCTGCACCGTAATGCTTCCTCATCCCCCCCCTCGTTCCTCTCCTTCCTCCCTCTGGTGTGGCACTCCCCTTTGCCAATTGTTCTGCAGCTACGGAGGATTTGCGCTCAGTCTCTTGCAGGGGATTTTCATACATTTAAAATAAATAATTCCTGGATTTACTGTACCCTGATCCCTGCTGCTCTTCTGATATTGATTTAATGCAGCTAAGCATTCCAAGCATTTAAAAATTCACTTACACCATGCAGTGCACTCAATATCATAATGATCTCCTGGATGTAGGCAAAGATGTGTGTGGTTTTCATGCATCAGCAACAGAAGACGCATTGACAGCTATAGAAAACTGATGATTAATTGTAACTGTTTATGCCTGTGTCAGTGGTTGTGTAAATATCTGTCTCAAGGGCATGAATGCATGTGTGTGTACAATGAGTTGAAAATGTTGCTTCCCATGGGGCACAGCAAAGCCTGTGGCAAATAGGGACTAGACGGTATTAGTTAGGGACTTATCTTCTTATTCCATACAACACCTTAGTAAGCTCCTTACGGCAGCCTTGGATCAGACGGACAATGCACTATCATACTGCATTATGAAGAAGAGGCATCAGACATCAATACTGTTCTAATCCTTCTCATGTCTGATCCACTTGTCTTCTGCCGTGACTTCGAAATGACCCGGTACCTAACATGACATTTGCAAACATGAATTCCACCTGTCGAAGGTAGTTAGTGTCGCTGAGGTCACTGTGCGGTGCTGAATTAGTAATGTATGAACTCAACATGTCTGGGTCCTCACTGCTGCCTAGCAGAAGGAGGAAACTGTTCTCACCTCTCGTCGCATTGCACAGTGGACGGTGATGATGACAAAACCCTGGACAGAGTCAAAGACGGCAAAGAGGACCTGGAGGAGACCAAAAACATTTGCTTGTTAAGTATTGCACATTGATACTGTATAAACCAAACCTTTTTCAATCATGGTGCCCATTTATAGCGATTTATACTTTCTAGGCACCCCTCTATATATATACACCCCACACCGCTGCACACATGCCATCAGATAGGCCGACTCTCAATTAAAACAGAAGTAAGCTGTGTAAGAAAACTACTAAACAATGGATAAAAATAAGCATGCAAATTAGTTCAGTGTATTTCTTTAATTAAAATTAGCTTACAATTTAGGTCATAAAAGGACAAAAACAGATGACATAATGGATTTATTCAGTTTTTCATTTATCTTAAAGACTTTTTCCCTTTATTTCACCCCAAAGGGAGTTACACAGAAAACACTGCTCCTGCACTGCGTGGAAATAGTTAGTTTGTATACCAGCCTTTACTTCCGTGAACAATTTGCGTCACTGTAACATGCGTCAAAATGCTCGCCTAGCGGCTACTGTGGCACACCCTCAATAACACAGGTGGAAAAACGGAAGAGCTGCCGCACACACAGTGGCAAGTCATTTGCCTGCCTCCCTCATTCTCTCAACCAAATGTTAAGTAGTCAATGGCCATAAAGTTATTACTGTGTTGCAGAAACAGTGCACAGTTAAAATGTTACGTACGTAAGAAAGAATTGGTTACAGATTAATAACTCACGACTCTGAAACTCTTGCTCCAGTCTAGGATGTGAAGCTGGTCAAGGAACATATTCAATTTTTTAAAATTTAACCATGTAAACCTGTTCTGGTACAACTCCTAAATAAAATTATGAACCTTAAAAGGAGCATAATATGACCACTTTTAAGTATTTAGTAGTAGTATCTTTCCTGGCTAAAGAGTGATGTTTCCTCTCAATCTCTTTTGAGCTTACTTGTCAACTCTACCTCATCTGACAGGTTTTCCCTGCAGAGGAGGTATTTTAGTGTGGGACAGCTAACTGTAAGCTTACGGCTGCTTGAATAGTACATTTTTTGGCCGGAAGGGTCTGTTGTCCCATACTGTGTTGAGGGCCGAGATGTATCAGCATCTCTCTGAGCTCTCTCTGAGCTGTTTACACTGACAAATCTTTCCGACACTGACTCTGATACTCTGACAGTCACCATTTCTGACCTGAAAAACTCATGAGCCAGAAAGTGTATTGTGTTACCATGACAACCAGCAACTGTGAGCTGCCATCACTGTTCTTGGCTGTGGATTGCAAATTCCAGCATTTAGAATTGAGATATAGTGGTTTTGACCTTTATTGCCTTTTTTTCTCTTTGAATACATTAGAAAATGTATCATTCACTATATATACTTTACTGTATATTAAAATGTATTTAATGTAAATGTTAAAAGGTGAAAAATGCTTGGTTAAAAAGAGCGAAATAAAATTTGTGCCATGCTTGAACTGTTTTCAAGGCACCCCAGGGTGCTGCATATTACTGTAATACCGTAGTGAAATGACTCAGTGATCAGTAGAGAATGAAATGAGTCAGCCAAGTCATGTTTATTCAAAATAAATCATCACAGTCAAAGTGTAGTTTTAATTAGTCATTCAGACTGTCTCTACACATGATCCTGACAGAGTGGGAATTGTAGGTTGTTCTTTAATGCATTTAAAAAAATGGCCTATTCTCTGTTTATACATGCTATCATTCAGATTTTATCTTTTTGTCTTCATGGCCAAGTGAGATAAAATGTCAAGAATCAAGGCTCTCAGAAGTTTATAGTTGACAGATTTTACATCAGAGTTTACACTTCATTCAGTGACTAACTAACCTGGAAGGGCAACACACACTGGCTAGGTCATAACACCCGAACCAACCGGTGGCATTTTGGCAATGCTTTCGGACGTGTTGTAATATTTCCAAGCATTGACGAGCATTTACTCTGCAGAAAAGAAGCACTGCACGTACCCTGTGTGTTGTACCTTCGGATGCCACACACCATTTTAAAGCTGCTTTTACATGGTGCATCACAGGTGTATGTGTGTGAGTAACAGTATGTGAGCATCTGCTAGTGTTGAGATACTTCACCTGGAAGAGTGTGGAGCGACGGTCGGTTATGGCTAGGACTGCTGACATCCAGGTTAATGCCAAGAGAGGAAGAACCACACAGGAGCTCCACAGAGACGCCCTGTCAGAGAAACAGGCAGAGGCCGAGAGGGGTAGAGGAGGGGAAAGAAGGAACAAGGGTTCAGTCTCAAACCACACCAGCCAGCTCTGGTGATACACACAATTCCACACACACACACACACACACACACACACACACACACACACACACACGTTTGTTCCTCTATCCCTGTGAGGACATCTCATTGACATAATACCTTCCCTAGCCCCTTATCATAACCTTAATCATCACAACTACATGCCTAATCTTAACCCTTACCCTGACCCTAACCATAACCTAATTGTAACCTGAACCCTAAAACCAAGTCTTAACCCTCAAAAAGCAGTTTCTACCCAATGGGGGATCTCAGTTTTTGTCCCCATCAGTTAGTGTGCATTCAGGTTGAAGTCCCCACCAGGATATAAAAACATGAAACGCACACAGAGATCAGGTTCAGTGGTGGGCTATTTGGAGCTGATTGGCAGACTGAGGTTTACACCAGACTTAATATTCAAACTGAGATGTGGAAGATGATGTGTAATCAAGTAGATAGTTATGAGACTGACAATTGCTCACAATTACATGGTTAATGCGCACTAAGTGTCATGCTGGTGCACTGTGAGACGACAGGCAGAGGGCCAACAGGGAGGGGGAAGACAGGCCAATGACAAGTCCTGACATGGGGGCTTCTGAGGAGTAAGTGCGTGGGGGAGTGTGTTTGCATCTGTAACTCCATGGAGTCAGACACCAATTTAAAATATTCGTGCTGTTTCATGGTTTTATAACAATCCGTCTAACAGACGGACAGCTCTGTCTGGCTACGCTTAGAAACACGTCCCTTCAGATGTGCATGTCCGACGGCAATGAATAAGAGAATATAGAGCAATAAAGCCAAAGCTGTGCTCTTCTCTTGTTGATGTGTAAAATTTCCAGCCGTTGTGGACTGTGGTTTTAACTACAACATGTGGTTCAGTACAGTACCATTAACAGCCTACATTCTATGTGAAAAGACACACTCTAACACTGCAAGTGTACTTAATCATACACAATAAGTGTTTTTAATAAGCTGTTATATTTGAAAGTGCTACAAAGTAATTTGGGAGAAAATAAATGTTTGGAAAGCAACATTGTCAACATTTCCAAATGGTGTTTATCTCAATCAAAAAAAAATCTTTATCAGGACACTTAGACCAGGCTTACTACATAATAATGCTACAGAGAATAAAGAAGTTTGTAATACTATCAGCATTTGCTATTTCACTAAATAATACAGAAATTATCCAGCACAGTCAGTTTGATTATGGCTTTACACTATGGATTTCTGTAAACTGATTTTTTGAAGGACCTTCCAACCAAACAGTACACTGCAAGTAGCTAAAAGAAGTGCAGTAATGTGTACAATATAAATGACAATAATAATAATAGACTCTATATGTATTTAGCTAATATTTAGGTGGATCTGAGATCAGCAGAGCTGTGTAAAAACAAATGTCAATAATGGCCCTGTGTGTTCCCAGTGACAACAGAAAACCTGATAGAAACGTGTAACTGCAAATAGGCAATCTCATCCCATTACCCTCCAATCATAGCGTCCAATCACTGAACAACACAGCAAAGAACAGAGCTGCTGCTTTAAACACAGCACTCTTCCAAAATAAACACAAAGCCATAATGAAAGATTTGCACAGGGACGTTGTTAAATATGCAGAGGGTTGTTTGCAACAGTATAACGGGGGAGGGGCCTTTCATTAATAGTCTGGCTGCACTGAACATGAAACCATGACAACAAACTTCTTTCTAAGAAGCACAATTCCAGGTTTGATCCAAGTCAAATACCAAGAAAGTGGTGCAAGTTCCAATGTCATTGAAATAGACAAAGAAATGGTCTTTGACCTGTCCATTGGTCTGTGACCGTTTTCTTGTTACTCCATCTAAAATGTGACCACCCAGTAGAAGATGTTCACTAAAAAATACATATAACTGCCATACATCTACCTGTGTCTCTTCAAACTGATACCTAATGTTTTTCCCAAAATGCAAATCATTGAATTTTTATTCTCCAAGCTCAAGTCGAGATGCGATGTCAATGTAATAATTTTCTCAGACTTGACAAAGCTCTCTTTCAGAGCCACAACCGACATTACAAAAATATTTCCACTGGCTGTGTAGCATTCTGCACAATTAGGAAATACATTTCTTCATTGAGTTCTCTGAGACATGTAGTAAAAATAAGAATAAATGCTCTAAAGATTTAAACACCTGCAGCTCTAGTATATATATATGTTGTTGGTATGTCTGTATCTTAAATGCTTTGTCAGTTTTGAAATATGATGCGTTCACTGTGACCAAAGGTGGTGGAATGGAAATACCATTAAACCATACAACATATATATATAATGAGGGAAAGAAAGTTTATACGATTACAGTACTGACATTGCACTGCCCTGATGTGTTAAGCCTCTGCAATTCTGCACTATAAACAAGTTAAAACAAACTCTAAAATTGATTCACAAATACTGTTTGACACAGGTCAGGTTTGCTCAGCACGACCTGAGGAAAATCCGCTTTGGATCAAAACAAGCTCATTAAATAGTGGCGGCTTGCAGTGCAGGTGTTTTTCCTTTCATTAGGTAGTTTTTTCTTTTTAATCCAGACAAGTCTGAATGTCACCCTGCATCATTAACGACAGCCAGAGAGAGACAGAGAGGGGAATGGAAAGAGAGGTAGAAAGATGAAGATGAAGGACTAACATGGCGCTGCTGGCAGTCGAGCTGGACAGAGCGGTGCTCGAGATCACGCCACACTTGGAGCATTTCAGGAGCAGCCGGCTACGCGCCTCCGCTGGGACACTTTAGGACATGTGCACACAGACACACACACACACACACACACACACACACACCCAACCATGTGGGGAGGAGAAGAGGGAGTGGGATGGGGTCAGGGGGAGGATGTGTGGAAACACAAGTTCCAGTGATGGCGACAGGTGAATGTGCAGGTGTCACAGTTGCAAAAGAACCAGAAAAGAACCGAGAAAAAAAGTGGACACAACAAAGAGTGGGAGGGGAAAAGAAAAAGGGAGGAGGGGGAGGGAGAAAAGAAAGAAAGGCAAATTAAAACCAGACCTTAAAAAGTAGCAGCAATGAATAACAGTCAGAATACCAAGATTGATTCAGAGCAAGTAGAAAGAAAGTGAGAGACGGACATTGCAATGTTAACAGCAAAGTCATGTGGATTAACAGATTACAGTGGCACAGACAGGAAATACACCAACAACATCTTATTCCACTGCCAGTGTATGCAGGTGTGTGTTATATACGAGTACATGTCACCGTGCACAATGAAGCACTATCGGGGTGTAAAGGAAGAAAGAAAAAAAAAAAAGACTCTTTTGGTTGTTTACTTACAGTTGACTACTCAGATGGAGAGCAACAGTGTGTGTGTGTGCGTGTGTGTGTGTGTGTGTGTGTGTATACACAATCACAAGTGGAGAATGATGGGACCATGCACGGGCTATGCTACATTAGCGTCCCATCACAGCTCATTGCCTTAGCGCGAGCCACATCCCCACAGTTTCATGAGGAAATACATTACGCTAATGACAGCCTGTCCTGTTAGCAACACTACCAACTACTGTGTGTAGGTTAAGGCTAAGATACGTGTGTGCTTCTAAACACACACTTCTGAGAATCTGAGAGGAAATGTGCTTAGGATTCGGATAACACCGAGGACTTTGCCTGGAACAAAGACGGGTACATCTGCTTGTGTGTGTTTGCGTGTGTGTTAGGTGTGTTTGTATACACCAACTGGTCTAATCTCAGTTGCATCACCGGGTAACAAAAGCTAATCAAACCCCCGGAGAGCCAATCTGTACTGTTAACCCTTGCAGCTATACACAGATTATCAATTTCAATTTGTGCAGGAGACAGACATTGGAGGAAGTGTAATGAGAGAGAGCGAGAGAGAGAAAAGAGAGTAATAGGAGACACAAGAGAAAACAATGGAATCAATAGGTATGGAAATGAACACATGGATTTGGCTGCGAGAGCTGAGGAAATCTCCACTCATAGGATTAGAAGATGATGAACAGCCGGCAACTGCTTTAATAGATGTAATGTTGTGGATGTAGATGGGTGCATTTGCATGCATGTCTGATGTGTAATAACAGAAAAAAAAATCCAATAGGATTCCAGTAGTGCACAAGACTTCATCCACATAATCCTGGTGTTTACACTAGGTTACACAGGTTTCCATCTGCTGTTTATTTTCATTGACGCCACATAATACTGAGAAAACTAGATGGAAACAGTATGTATGTGGAAGCTAGAACTGAGCAACAGAACACAACAGATGTCTTGTCATTTTGTTGCCAAATTGGAATCTTTCTCTTTTTTTGGGATTTTTTTTTTTTTGCGGGAGGCGCAGGTGCACAAGTAGGTGTGTGTTCCGAGGCCCTTGAAAGCAGTTCGAGTTAGTTGCCATGAACATGTTGTCTCCCTCGGTTTGTGCCTGACAGAAGGTAAAATGTAGCTAATGCAGCAAATATGTAGTCACTTCCCACCAAGAAATTGACTGAATGGATGAGTAAGCGGCACGTGTTTTGTGGGAGTTGTGTGGCAACGCCTTTTGTGTGTAGTAGACTGTGTATGAGGTGCAGAGGGGTTTAGGAAGTGAACTTACCCCGCTCGCTGCTTTTTAGACTTGTCTGAGATGCCGTCTCGAGACATGAGCTTGTTAAACACCACAATTCCAATGAGCATATTCACCTGAGAGCAAGAGAGAGATGAAAGTTTGATCAGGATTGCTATAACAGATGGGTAGCCAACAGGAATTCATGCACTGTATAAATCTATATTTTTATTTCTTAATGTTTCAGTTGATTGATTGAAGATGACTTTTTAATTGTCCCATAGACTCAAGGCTGAATGTGACAGTGCCTTTGCTGTCAGAGTTTCCAGGCTGACTTGCTCTTGTGCAAGAAGAGCTTTAGGCTCAGCTCATTTCACACAAAAAAAATAGTTTCCACAGTGGCTGTTGTGGCAATATGATTTACAACGACAGGCTCATTCACAGCTGAGTGGCTAGTAACGTCCAATCACATTCATGCCGGTATATAGCGTGGACATTACAAGCTGATTGTTCAAATATGTGTTTATAAATGGTGATTAGTTCTCTCAGCAGAAGCCTTGTCCTTGCTCAGACCCTTTAAGAGTTTAAATTTAACATTTACATATTGTTAAAAATGGTTAATTTGTTTGATGCAAGTGTCTCTGACTAAATTATACAAAATAGTGTGTCATTTGTGGTGACTCCCTTAAAGAAATAGTAAAAAAAAAATTAATCCCCACTGATTCTCATCCTGGCTTCTCTTACTAATGAGGCGGCCATAGCTAAGCCTGCCAAACATCTGGCCACAGTGACCCAGTCATAAAGATTCTATTAGGCACACACACACACAAATCTGAGCCAAGGGTTGCTACATGTAGACCTCTTCCGCTGTGAAATTCTGCCCATCTGGGAGATTTTCTATGCTGGCGACAAGTTCCTTCTAATCCTGGTTTCCAACATTATTTCATACTCATTCTTCCACCCTCTGTGGGTGTCTCTGTAGAGTCTCTGTTTGGGTATTCATCTGCTCATGATGTCAGCTGTGAGGTGAATTACCAACACATTACTTTCATACAACTTTGCTGTGTATGTAATGCATTCATGTTCTTATCAAGGTCTTTAACTAAATGTCTGCCTGGATTCTTTTTTTTTCATCTGTTACCAAGTTCAGCTTCTGGCTAGGCAGAAAAATGTTATAGATTCAATACACAGCTGCTAGAAATCCTTAGGAAACAACTGAGTAGTTGAGCACTTAAAGTCTGACTTTCATGTGGTCAGTTGAATTTTCAGTTATTGCAGCTTTTGCAGAAGCTGGATTTTAACTTGAAGCCCATTTCTCCGCCACATCTACGGTACATCTGGCAGCGTTTGCAGTTTGCTAAAAACTCTCTCTCTCTCTCTGATCTCCTTCCCCTCTCTTGTGTGTGTTTCGCTGCTGACAACTACCTGCGATGTGCCAGATTGTGAGTGCGCCATTGTCATGCCAGTCATGTCTGGCCCTAGCTCTGTGAGTCAGCATCATCCTGCTCTTCTATTTGCCCAAGGCCAGGTTCATTAATTAGAGAAGAGTCCTGTGGGAAGGTCTGTGTTTCTCTGCCCGACGTCCCACTCTCATTACAGCTGTTTGTTAGAGTGGGGGCCCTAGCAACAACACCGGGGGGCTGGGGACCGTTACATAGCAGATGGGGTGTGGAGTGCACATTGACATTGTGAAGGTAGAAAGCGTTGAAATTTGGAAACATTCAAAGAAACATCACACACTGACACACAGTGTGTGAGGACAACTGTCTTTTGATTTTACATGACGGCTGTAACCTTTGAGCTCTTATAAAGAGAGACCCCAAATGCCTAACATTTATTTCTTTATAATGTATGAGTTCTACTATATTAAATTGATGAACTTTGGATTTAGTAAAATAAAGCACCAACCTGACGGTTTTCTGGCTAGGCAGAAAAATGTTATAGATTCAATACACAGCTGTACAGTAGTATTGGAATCTACTATATTATCATAATCATGGATATTCAGCACTATTTAATCCCGTATTACATCACGTCCCAAACTGTAGCTTGATGAAAATGTCAACCTGCCACTCGCTTGTCAGGAATTTACTTAAACTAAAAACATGCATATCACCCTGCACACCCGTGGTGCTGTCCATGCTTCCTTTCCGACGTGTAGTATGCCGTGAGTGTGCAAGCAATGAGAAGGGGAAATCTTAACGTATGAGTAGACACACAAACAAAACAACAACAGCAGTGGCAGCAATTACCAAACTAAAGTTTAGTACCCCATCCAGACTTATTAGGCTTAGTGGTGGAAATATGCACCCAGGGATTAATTTAAGAGAAATTAGCTAATCCTGGAACCAGCCACGTACAGCAGCACACAACAGCAGATGATTAAAACACCAGTGAGATGCAATCAATGCACTCAATTTTGCTGTAGAACAATATAGAGCTATATTTACTAGTATATAAAAATGTCAGTTTTATAGCAATTGGCAAAAGCAAACACACATTATTATGATTGCGGTGCACACTGTTAGTCATATATTTATGTTTGAAAAGAAGTTGTTGTTTTTTTTAAATCTATCCTTAAATACATTGGGTACAGTGACTCATACTTTGAAAGTACACATAAGAGTGAGATATTTGGCTGCTGGGCAAGAATTCAGTCCAGGCATATGTTGCCGGGAAGCGCTTGTCTGCTGGAATACATTTTACTTTTTCTGAGCTGACATTTTAAACTCAAGGATCAAAGTCCTCAGCTCATCATTTTGTCGTGGACACCCCGGGTGTGTATGCTCACATGTGCACGTGGGAGCGGAGGGAAAGGGAAAATCCTCTGAGGTCAGCTGCGGCTGTTTTAGCAAAATATTTGTAGAATTATGCAATGTGACCAGTGAGAGATGGGAGCAGTCCATCTAAAAAGTGAGGGAATCTCGTCATGAGAGAGTATTTTGGACAGACTTACCAATACAATGACAGCAGCTGGCCCGACGAAGGCATAAAGCAAGCCACCCTCCAAGGATAACCAACAGCTAGAGAAAAAGAAAACCAGGGAAGTGTTTTGACACAAAACACAGCAAAAGCACAGAGCTACTGGTGTATAAAATATCACTTCACCACATTCAGGTCTCTCATTTCACTTGCCATGAGTGCCAAGCACTTAATCACCACAGGTACCCAACCAATTAAGGAACACATTTACCATAAAACTTTGAATAATAGCCTGGGCTTTTATTTGCTAAAATCACTGAATCGACCCTGCCTTTATTTGGGACAGGCGTCCATATGGGACAGGCCTTTAATTCTTTTTGCACAAAACTGAAACTACTATGAAACAGTTTATTTATTTCGAACAGAATAATACTTATGTAAAAATGATCAAATAATATCAAATACACGTCATTTATTTGATCTAGCTCCGACAGATGGCTTATGCGCTTTTATTTTGAAGGCAGCAACCTCACAAAAACAACAACACGGTGCAGGATGAGAGAAGTTAGCAGACAGAGAGCAATGAACTTCACATGACAGGATTCATAACTTGGATAAATGTTTCTGAAAAGCTGTTTTGATTCTTTTGATTGGTGGACCCTTACAGACTAAAGGAATATAAATAATCAAGGAACGGACACATTCGGACTGCATTTTCAAATTATTGTACTTGCAATTCTTTATACAGTATATTCAGCTGTATAGAGCAAAGCCTCCCCTGAATGAAAAACTGGATACAAATACAAATGTATGAAATAGACCTTAGCTTGAAACCTATAGGGGAAAAACTGGAAGATAGACTTTTCTAAACAGCAAAAGGAAGACTAGGGTATGCTGTGAATGGTAAGTAGTAAAGGGTAATGGATTCTGTTGTGCGTCCGACCCATCCAAACATAAATCAGAGGTAAAAAACTGATGATTAAGTGATGATATCCAAATCGAGTCATGACTGGTGTGAGGGACAGAGCAGGAAGTCTGAGAGTGTTACTCACTAGCTGGCTGTGCCGTAACCTCTTGCTCTGGTGAAACCTACTGACACTGCTACAACTAGAGCTGGAAGACCTGCAGACAGACAGAGAGAGAAAGATCAAAAGGGTGAGACAAAGGATAAAAGGAAGCCTTAATGGGGACAGTTGAACATGTCGGCCAAATAAGATTCTCCGTTGTGAACAACTCCATACGGCTCTTCCTTTTCAAATGCTAAGCAGCCATGCAATAGCACGTAACATGTGCATATGTGATCAAAACTGACTGAGTGCCCTGTAGTTAAGCCCGAGTGCTCTGCATGTGCTCCCTGACACACAGGTCTAACTGGGCTTGGATCCCAGTTCACTGTAGAGATGGAAGCGCTGATTTTGCATCTCAGGACATTCTTGTTGTGCATTAACCCTGCCATATGTCACACACACATGCAGTATGCCTGAGTGTGTGAGCATGCAAGACTAAGAGAGAGTTTATAAGGTGTAGCTTGGAGTGGTCAATAAGTCATGCATTAATTAGCTCAATCAAGCAATTTGCCTGTGTCTGCATGTGGGTATGTGTGTAAATGAGAGGCAGGGAGAGTGAGACTGAGTGTCACAGAGCGTGTGCCAGAAAAAAGAAGGAAATATGCTGGGCCCGTAATGAGTTTGGCTCTGAAATATTCATGTAATTAACAAAGCTGTGATTATGGCTGCAAATGAAAAGCAATTAGAAAAAGTCACATTAACATTAACAAATAAGATGGTGGGGAGCCAGGCCGGTCCACTAACCAGCATGCGCAAAGTTTCAATTAGACAGCAACATTAATCTAGCATTTACGGACATATAATAAAGTAAACACACACCTATACATTACGCAAGGACACTCTACTGCTAATCTAATCCAGATCCAGTCACACCCCAAATCCTCTGTTTCCATGGCAACTGATTTCAATCATTTGGGGAGGAAATTGCTAAAAGGACGTGTGGAAGATAAGCTGTTTGATCCCCTCCACTCTGCTCAACTGTTTCATTCATTTCATGTGCATTTGTAGGTATATTGGATAATTCTATAGCGGCCACCACATACCCAACAAACGCACATACACACACTGTGTCAGTATCTCTCTCTATCTGTGCCTGTACAACAGTCTATACAGTCTCCCTCCCCTGTATCAGGTAAGGGCATCAGTAAACTTGGCAGATTAGACTGGTTGGATCAATATCAAGTGAAATGAACAGACAATGTGTGTGTGTGTGTGTGTGTGTGTGTGTGTGTGTGTGTGTGTGGTGATGGTGGTGGAGCCTGCAGATAGTAATTTATACAGTTATCTCAAAGCATCTTGCTAGTGTTATGCAGATGTTATCATATGTTTTGATTATCCTCTAACACCACTGGTGCTTGTTGCGTCAGGTTATAGTACACTCAGAGAACAGCATAACAGAGTGACACGGAGGGTGAATGCAACAGAGGTAGAGCTGGATGTCTACAAAGGAGTGAGATTACCATTGCTCTGAATCTATACTGTGACATACTTTGTGAGTGTGTGTATTCATGTCAAATTTCATGTCTAGCTTTGGTTTAATTAGATGAGATCACATCAGTAAAAACTGTAATAAATGTATTTTGAGAAATGGAGTCATTGAAGCAGCAAATAATCATATACAGCAATGAAAAATGGGATACAAATGAGAATAGAGCAAATTACGGTTATTAAGCATAATGCAGTCAACAATTCTAACACTACAACATAATAATCTGTTACATTGTCATAAAAAATGCCTGTTTAGCTGCTCTCCATCACCAGCTTGTGTCACACAACAGTGGTTCAATCAGCCTCCATTTCCTGAAAGTGTCTTCATTTACTATGCTGAAAGTCCTCTGGCACACAAGGACGGTTTATATTTCCAGTAACAGCAACAGCAGGAATCTACATTAGCAGCTAGGTGTTGTAGTCAATTTATGAAGCGACTGTGTGTGTGCACTCGGAATGCTCTGCATGCACAGGAATGTACTGTCATATCGTATTAATAGTTACAAAGACTGTGCCGAAAACATTTTTCTTAAAACAAGACTAAAACTAAACACAAAGTGGAAGACTAAACAATCATAAATGTTGGATTAATGGACAAATAAACTAATAACCTGCGATAACCTGCTTGCATCTTCAGAATAACACACAGTATGGAACTGGTAAAAGAATATCTTCCCTCACCTAAATTTATCCTTTCCTCAGAAGATGATTTACCTGCTTGACCTGTTAAGAAGCAGCAGCTTACTTTTCAGTAATGTCAGATAGTAATGTTAGCTAATGTCACTGTTTAACCGTTTAATGACAATAAAGTAACTTCACAGGCTAAATGAATCAACGGTCCCACTAAAACCTTGAAACAAATGTAGCAAAAAACAGCTGGAAGAAATCACAAAAACAAGCACGCATTATCTGTGTGCTTTTAAATGTATGCTAATGTTACTTTCAGTCTTTCGTGTTTAGGATATTGACAGGAATGAGTGCAGGAGTAATGTAGGCTGACCATCCATCCATCCATCCATCATCAACCGCTTATCCTGCGTACAGGGTCGTGGGGGGTAATGTAGGCTGTCAACAATCTAAATCTTCTCCTTGATGTTAGCTAAAGGAATATTTCTATGTTAATACTATCATCTGTTTTAGCCGCTTCTCTCAAGTTAAATCCAAACAGTGTTTTACTGAGCAAGACCATGAATGCAAGCCGTATTGACAGGGCTGAGGAGAGGATGACACATATGTCTTAGAAATTAACTGTCTAATTGGACTGTCACATTAGTCGCTAATGGTTAGCAAGCTTGTTAGCAAGGAGAGCTTCCCTCTTCAGTAAAACGCTTTATTGTATGAACTAAGCTTATGTATAATCCTAAGAACAAAATGCCTGGCAGAGAAAATATACAGGAGCCCTATAGTGACTTATCAACGCTAGCAAGTCCGGGCTGACTAGCATGTTAGCGTTAAGCTAGCCAGCTACAGCAGTTCACCAGATATCTTTGCAAGTACTCCCTATGTCACTGAGCTTCTAAAACCAAATGTTTTACAAAGACATGTGAAATATGAATTTTGCTGTGACACTTGCAGGCCCTAAAACTAAAACTGAATCAAAACAAAGTGCCAAAATTCACACAGCATTCTTTCGTTTTGTAATGTATGATTGGTATTGTGGGTGCTCACCCCAGCCGAGGCACAGAAAACGCTTGCGAATGAGTCGTGACCTCATTTTCCCAATGACGGCCAGGTAGGACTGCCACGCCTCTGTCAGCACCCAGCAGAAGGATGCCAAGAAGAAGAAATGCAGGAAGGCAGCAGTCACAGTACAGAGGCCCTAAAGAGAGAGATGAAAGTCAGGGAGATAGAGAGAGAAAAAAACATTGGAGGCGTTTCACAAAAAAAACGCCTCCAAAAAGGTCTTTTTGTGAGAGGTGTTACAGTGAATCATCTCTTAGGACTAGTCAGCAGTGGAAAATGAAACCTCCACAAAATAAAGAGGAACGTAGGGAGTTATTTAGAAGACTAGGACTTCAATCTGGTTCAGCTGTGTTCCTCATTTTGATCGATACTGACCACCACACAGTACAGTCTTGCTTAGTCAGAGTACTCAAGAGTGCGGTGTGCCAAAAATGTCAGCACGACACTTTGAGAACTCCACTGTATAAACCATGTCTTCCGTTGTGCCAGGTGATTTTTTTTTGACAGTTCGTTTCTGTGCATTATGAAACGCTTGGTCAAAAGCACTATTACTGGAATAATAAATGTACTATGGAAATCCAGTTGTGCAGGAATAGAATGTCCTTTATGTGTTTCTGCTCACTGCCTTACCTTGCTAAGCGTTTGAGATTGTCCCACCAAAATCAATAAATTGGAGGCCAAGATGGAGAGGCAAAAATTCACCAAGATGATGGATCTCTCCGAACGGATATACCTAGAGAGCAGAGGATGAGAGAGAGTGAGGACAGACATGTGAGATAAGTATTAATGACAGATTGATGGACTGAACAGCATCTTTTTGGACATTGCAGAGTCATTAGCTTGATTTTGCCATCTGTCATGTGTGTTACAAAAATCTAATCACCACCCCCTGCTGCAGTTGAACCATTTGTTCCTTATTAGGCCTCACTGGAGTTTTGGCACAGCAGACGACACACACAAAATGTACTTTTTATGTACTGGTAGGAGCCAAATAGTGAGAAAAATCACCACTGTCAGCACAGAGGATGCAATGGTAGACTATGAAGTATGTGTTTGAGTGTGTACATGTACCTCCAGAAGGCAGCGTAGATTAGCAGCAGGATGAGCAGAGCGGTGCAGGAGACCCCACAGCCCACCATGAGGGGAACAGAGGGCATGCTGGTAGGACCCATGTCCTGAATTGGGTGAAAGGTAAGAAAGGGAAAAATGGATAATTAATAATTACAGCAAGGCATTATCCCACAGATCTTAGACATCTTATTTTATTATACCAAAAGAACTATACGGGTTAGTTAAAATCACAGTGAAATGGCAGTTAGAGCATCTGGAGCTTCTGTCTTATGCAATGGAATAGGTGGGTGGGCGTGGCTTAGTTTTGCTGACTGATATCCAAGTATACACCTTCTGCTATGACATCCCTCTGTTAGCTACTATGACCCACAAGCTAACGGTCAAACATTGTAATATTTGACAGGCAGAGAAAAAAGAGGAATTTTGTTATAAAAACATAAAAAAATAATACTGCACATATCAAGAGATAACTCAAAAATTAATATGATGGATTTCGAAAGGGTAATTTCTTAAACTGTGTCTTTACACTGGCTTTGCAACCCGCTTCATGCCGCTTTACATGGAACACACACCGCTTAGCTTTGCTATGAGAATGCATGCATTTACACATTCTCATTCAGGTAACCAGCCGATTTCCAAGGTAGAGAATGTACACTGGGAGCCTGCTGTGCACCCATGTTCAACAATTGCATAATTTCACGTGTACAAGGGTAAAAGCACTAGACCATAACGCATAATTAAGCGATTTAGGTCATGATGTACAGCGGACCTCTGCTTTGCCTCTCTCTCTCTCTCTCTCTCTCTCTCTCTCTCTCTCTCTCTCTCTCTCTCTCTCTCTCTCTCTCTCTCTCTGTGCCTTTGAAAGGAGGGGAGCAGACAAATGAAGCTGCGTGGAGAGCATACACCCTGCCGTGTCCCAAATGGGCTTAATGTTTGGCCTGCTTTTAAGTTCTCAATCACACAATTTACCTCAATTTACCCCCTAGAGTGGCTAGCCTTCCCTTTCATCTCAAAGATTTATCACTGTACACACATACTGCACAAGGTGTCTTTTACTGCAAATAAAGTACATACTCACACACAAAGGCACATCCAGGCAGATGTGCCAACGGCCAAGTAATTGAAAGTCAGTGTTTAAGCCATGTGTGTGTGTGTGTGTGTGTGTGTGTGTGTGTATTCAAGATGAGCTGAAGGCAGAGGAGTAAAGCAAGAGAGAGGACTTTAGAAAGGAATAAAGAACACACGCTTAAAAGAAGGAGTAGGAGATAAATTCAAAGAGAGATGGAGTGGGAAGAGTTAAGGACAACTAAGAGAAAGCAAGGAGGAGGAGGAGGAGGAAGAAGATTTAGATAGGGAGAAAAGAGAACGAGTGAGAGTCAAAGCTTCCCTTTTAGTGGTTTTCCCTGGCCCATCAAAGGAAGCCAATTTCTCCAGAGGAAAGTGAAATAGGCTGGAATACCAATACGACGCACACACACAAACACGCTAGGAGGAGAATGGAGGTGAAACATAATCAAAACTGCCTCCTAAGAAAGGAGAGACCCAGAAAAAAGAGAAAGAGATAGAGGGATATGACAAGCACCTGCTTTAGGAAAAAGGAAATGCTTAAGAGGGGAGTGAGAGACAACAGAGACTCAGTGTGTTTGATATTATGTAGAGAGGAAGGTCAAAGGATATACCGGCATTTGTGTTTTTTTGAGGTCTGACAGATCAAACATGGAGGACCCATGGGGAATGAGAGACACACACATACACACAAGCCTCGTGAATTCCCCTTTTGTCTCTGTCTGTTTTACTTTGTCTTGAATTAGCCTCTGCCAGGCAAGTAATCAAATGCATTACACTCTTACTCGTAATTTACTCAATATACATCCGCAAATTGTCCCTCAGCTCTTCATTGTGTCAATTTGTCTAACAGTGTTTTCTTAATTGGTACGTTTAGGTTATGTATGTGTGATGAGTTTAGGCATCTAATTTCATAATGCGGAAGGATGCTATAAAAGAGGAAATGAAAAAAAAAGGAAACACCCACACAAACACACAAATAAAACACACTCGGCCTGAGGATACAGTGTCACACAAATGCCCTGCTCTAAATAGATATAGTGATATTATGTTGCAGTTGGAGGGGATATGTGGATGTGTTTGGTATGTGTGTGAGACAAGAGAAAAGCACAGAGAGAGACTACAGATTAGAAAGAGTGTGCTGAGGCTCTGCTGTATATGGCCAGGCTCCCCTGGGCAGCTTGGCTACCATGTGATGGAGAAGATAGCTATTTTCAGCTCAGGAAGTTTAACCTACTTATCCTCTCACTCAAACCCCTCCTCCCTCCACTCCTACCTATCCTCCCTTTCTCACCCTCTCTGTGTCTCCCATTCTTCCTCAATATACCTGTACCTCTTATTCACTCCTCAGCAGCTGCGGGTCTCTCTGTACAGTGCTGAGATCACACAATAATGCACACGTTCTAAGTAATTCTGCAAATGCATCCTCTATGAGGAGTATGAGAGGGCTCAGAATACTCTATAAAACAGCTGGCACTGAGTGTCTGAGTGTGTCTCACCACTCGTGTAGTGTGGTGTTTTTGGTGAGTGTCTCATAGGCCCATATAGACTGAAAATGCCATGTCTCTAGTGGAAACCTTGAAGAAAGTCCATTGTATACTTTCAAAGACTATTAGTTCTTGAAAAGATGGCATTTTGGAAACTTGAGTTTTTTAATCCATTAAGTTCTCACACCAAAAGACCAATCATGGCATTTGTCATTGTCTTAGAAAACATATGAGCTCTGTATGATCTCTATGGTTAAGGTTGGTTTGTGTTGTGTTTAGTCAACTTAAACTACTATGTAAAGGGTATGGAAGGATCATGGTTCAAACTTTTCTTTGCAGAAATGCTACAGTGTCAATGCTAACATGCTAAATTTAATTTTTTGTTTCACCTGTTAGCATGCTAATTAGCATTACAAACAAAATGTTGATGGGAAGTGGGATGATGGAATCTCATTAGTTTTTGTTTTTTTTATCATAAACCAAAAAGCTACTATAATTATTATTTTAATATTAACAATGGATGAAATGAACACATGTAGGTAAAGGTTTTCAATTTTCACCTGACTGAATACGTGAATTCCTCTCAGCTCTATGGAGTGTTTACGCTCATTGATTTTGGTTTTAAAGCCGCCAACTTCACTGATTTGGTTCACTATCAATGCTCTCATTATAGACATAGCAAGCAGCTTTTCTTGTTGAAAAGCTTTATGAACCCACTGTATGCTACCTGTTTCGTTAGGTGTTGGTGGAGAGCAAAACAGTACTAAAAAAAGAATGAAGATTGGATCTACATATTTAAGGTGACTTCAAATGAATTCAACTCTAACTAACTCGACTTCAAATTAATGCTGATGTTGCTCCATATCAGCGGGTTGTGTAAACAGGCTAACAGTTAGCTAACATGTTCAGCATATCAGCTTAAAAGGTGATGACATGAGTAATAAGTGTGTTTACAGCTTATTTCTGATGCTACCATGTGGCCAAAAAATCAGTTAATGCAGGTTAGGGAAAGAGTGTTGCAAGTGGGATGCGAACAGTGTGTCATATCACATGACTGCTGACCGTTCCATCCACACTGACAACAAATAACAGCATGTTACTTTTGTCCTTGCATTTGAGAGAGAACAGTCATAACTAAGAGTTTTTCTGGTGAGGCAAGTCTCAGGCTCTGAATACTCTATATGCATCCATTTGTGGGTGTCTTTTGCCATTTCTCATAGTCCCATGTAAGCTGTGAAAATGCTATTCCTCTTGCTAAATATTTCTTGAAAATATGGCATTTTCAACATTCAAGTTACTTCCGCAGTCACATGCTCCATTTGTCCTCACATAGGCACACACAAAAGTATTCACAAGCAGACTGTGCCCCTGCAGCGATGTAAAACTCTACATCTTGCTAATCTAGTGTTCCTGCTATTCAGTTGCCTGTTTTGCTGTCATGGCACCAGGTAAATATTGCCTGCGATATGCTTCAACAGAATCACTTCAGCAGACCCTCGAGGGTTCAGCTTGACAGGCTCTGGCTTCAGTGGCCTCAAGACAAACCATAAGTCTCCTGTCATTGTGTGACAACCTGGAGAGCTGACATAGTGTAAAAATGTTAAGTCATCATATCAAGTGCTGGCCTTAACTTCAGGGTTTTTTTTTTATATATTATTTGAGGTGTGTGTCGCTTGTTTAAGCAAAATGTACCCGGTACAAAACAAAGGCCTAATCCCAAAAACATGTTTGAAATTAAAGCAAATAGCACCAAGATACACTGTTTCTTCAAGGCTACTGTCAAAACCATCTCCGCCCAATCATAGATACACTATAACAGGCCCAGGTGATGGTTCACACAAATCTTCATATCATCACATTGCAATTTTGAGCTTACCAAAAGGGTATTTTAACCTTCATACAATTTGTCACATAAGAAAAACCAAATGAAGTTGGAGACATGCCGAAACAGCATGCCCTACTTAAAATTACTGCCTCTAATCAGCCACCTGTTTACTGGTTTCCACTTATTATTTATTTATTCACCATTCTCTTTCAGTGCTGTTCATACTGTGTCATATTGTATATACTGTATACCAATACACCTACCTCAGGTCATAAGGTCATAGGTCTTATTTATTTATCCCAGCATCCTTTGCACTACACTCCATCACACTGTGTACATGTGTACATGTATGCCTGTATGTGTATGTGTACCTGTATATCATATCCACCTTCAACATGTACATAATGAGAATAATAGTTTACTCTTACATCCTTTGCAATCTGATCACTGCACTATTTATCAATATGTCCATATTGTTTTGTTCATAGTGCGTTTATTAATGTTGTCTATACTGTAGTTTGTGTCTGATTTTATTTTATTATTATTTTATTATTGTGTTATGGTATTTTTGTATGAATAAGCACATCATGAGCAATGTACAATCCTGACTCAAATTCCTCGTATGTGTACGCATACCTGGCAATAAAGCGGATTCTGATTCTGATTCTGATTAAAATTGTTAACAGGGATTCTTGCGGTCAAAAAAGCCACCACAGCCAAAACTATACCTTCTGCTATCCAATTATCAAGTAAATCTGTCCTCACCACACCCACGCTCAGCCATTATGCATCTTCAGCCAGAGAAATAACTAAATAATTGCACCTGTTTATTCTCTCATCATCCTTTCCCTTGTCACTAACTCACCTTCAATTAATGTGACAAGGGATCCAAAGATTCTAATGCAATTCCACACAGAGTCCCTCATAAATTAAAGAAGCCCCCCATCTTTTAATTACGGTTGACAAGTGCAAGGTATTTGCATACTGTAACCTTGTAGGCTTGCTCCATCTAGGCCAGGCCTTGTTGTCTTTCTAAACACTCTCTCCAGTTAAGTTATAATAAGCTAAAATATGAGTTGCCATCTCAGAGTGCCTCAATCATCCCTATCGTCCTTCCACAGTCAAGTCAGGGACTTTGGCCATTAACAGTCTAAATAATAGACTCAGCTGTGAGATTTTTCCATTCTGATTAGCTGCCTGTGAGCACTAATGACAGCAGGGGAAACAGACTCAATTCATCTCAAGCAGACCCAATCATTTCACGAGACTGATTGGGCCAAAGACAGTTAGCCTGGCAGGTAAAAGAAGCTGTGAGAAATCCTTCACAGCAGAAGCAGAGATCACCTCGCATATTGTTCTGTTGAGAAAATTGCTTTGATACCATAATTGGCTTATAAACGAGCTATGGAAACGCAGAAGGCACCCCCGCCTCTTCGCAGTGCCTGCTGCCTTATTTGTCTCCTCCTAGCCAATCTGTGTCTGTAGAACGTGTTTGTATATTTGCTGGTGTACTCGTTCACACTCACTGGGATTAAGGTCTCAGGTGCTGTTTGAACCACTGACCTTTTCACTCACATTTCTGGTTACCTGCTCAGGCAAACCACAAATCCCACTGTAGCCGTAAAAAACAAGTTTGAGAGAGGCACTTGAAAAGCTGTAATTAATTTTCACATCAGCGCAGCCAGGGAAGGAGCCTTGTGTGCTGACGAAACTGAAGTGAAGAGGTATAACTCTCTTGATTAACTTGAGGCACAGAATGTTAAACTGACTTTTATAAAGCCAATACCCCCTTCAACTCCAAATCCCATGATCCCTATGAGCACTATGGAGTCCAGACATATCCGTAGGGTTTGTGTTCCCACTGGAGTCATTTTGGGAATTAAGTGACTTGGTTTATTGTAGGGCTGCATGACCTCACTCACTCGACTCCTCTTTCTCCCTCTCTCCCCTCTGTTTCTCTAAAGTAACAACCTCTGTCTTGTCTGATAGTGGTCTCTCTCTCTACGCACACAACCACACACATGCACACACAGAAATCTCAGAGGCTATAGAAAGTAAACAGGATTAACTGGCTATCCTCGCTCCACTGTAAACGGCCTGTAATGGCAGCACTGCTTCTAAATCCCTCCATCTCTTTCTCTCCCCCTCCCTCTGTCCCTTTTCTATTACACATGGAGGTTAATCCCCCCCCCCTCCTCCTTGTCCCTAGCGCCATGGCCCAGGATAAGCTGTCAGAGCTGGGCCTCTGATACTCAGCTCTGCTCCAGCAGCCACAGAGTCTGGACACAGCATATGAATGCATGTTTGAGTGTGTACATGTGCAGTTTTGTGCGTGCAGATTTGTATGTATGCGCTTGTGTGTGTGAGGGTGTATAAAAGTGCAAACATCCGTACCTAGTTTTCTGTGTTTGCATGTCTGGATGTGACTAGGTTTTTTATGTGTTGCCAAATTCAATCCGTCTCTCCCTCCTCTTTTATGGAATCCAATCTCCCCTGGAATAAAAATCTAACTCTGGAGGGCTGTAAAGCAACAAAGTGCACTCAGCACTGGCCACAGCAGCTCCTGACTGAGAGCCATGAACACAAACACACTGACCCATACCTTCCAGTCCTTAGCACTAGGTCTAATGGTGGTACCGGGGGCTGAATGTTGAATCGCTAATGACTAACGCACTCTTCACAGATGTAACAAATGTCTAAAAAAGTCAATGTGCGTTGCCTCCTAGTCCTCTTTCACTCAACATGGCCGACCTGCTTGCTGCAGCGAGGGAAAAGTCAATATTGTTCACTTGGAAGAGGAGTCACAGGAACCAGAAACAGCAGCTGGAATGACCCATTAAGCTTATAGGTTGTAACCACCATGTTTTCCATATAGTGGGAATTAATGTTTCCCAGAGTTCTGTAAAAGGTTCCAGACCTCTGTGAAGTAATTCAAACATTGAAGGACAAAATAATGTATAACTGAATTTACTCACCTGAAGGCAATTACATTATTTTGACCCCTTTTACATTTCTTAAAAAAACTAAAGAGGGTATCCAGGGGAAGATGACAGGAATCAAATTATTCAAATATGATAAAAAGATCCCCAGAATAAAAATCCAACTGAATATTGGAGGTTTATATCATCCAGCTATCCAGTATGATCAGCACCTTTAGCATAGCCAGGGCTTCTAAAAGGCAAAGGATCAATCACTGCCAGTTCGGCTTATCCAGTGTCCATTGTTTTCAGCTGTCACTTGGATCACTCCATCCTGTGTGACCTATTGGACACCATTCAAGCACCCTTGGTTGTGGAAGTTAAAATCCCATTCATTTTCTCTAGACTCACACATGCAGCACTCCATCCACCAACGGTGGGCAGAAGCTAAAGGTTACACTGTTGAGAAAATTAATTCACCTTCACATTCTGGATAGATTTGACAACTATGATGCCATGTGTTGTTACCAACTGCAAGGAAGAAGCATTTTACATTTGACAGGCTTCTTCTCCATTGCAATGGGGACTGAGGCTCATGGTTAATGTAGTATTTGGAGCCATCCGCCAAGTCAAACATAATTTCCCAGTAACAAAGTAAAAATAATTAAAACCCATAACATAAGCCTATAGGATAATTAAATTTTTTGTGTGACTCCTGTGTTTCTTTGTTGAAGACTGGAGAGAAGAATATTAAGTGGTGAATTTATAATGGTGATAAAATACAAGCAGAACCAGCAGCTCTTTTCACTTCGCAGCTCTATAAAACTGGGTTTAGACTCTAGTCCAGCTGAACCTTGTAATGTATCTTTGGAACATGAGAGGAAACAAAGACCCCAGAAAAAAACATTGACACATATGTAGAGAACGTTACACACCAAGCTAATGTAATGCGCAAACCGAGCCACAGTGTTTTTTTCATTTTCATTTGATGCAGTGTGTATGTAAGGACAGGCACATCTTACCAGCAATGTGTTTTGATGCACAGCACCAGAGAGTTCTATGTGGGAGCACCGTTTTACACTGAAAAGGTTACAGATGTCCACGTATGCCCACAGCTATTTATCTCAGCGACACTGGTTGTTAATGCATTATTACTGAGAGCAGACAACATCTCCTTTCCATCTCTTCGTCTCTTTCTCTCTCCTTTCCTCTCTCTCACTCTCTCTCTTAGTTCTCCCTGACAGCTGAGACCAGACTGCCTTTTCTGTTTGGTTGAACATTTCCTTCCCCAAATCCTCCATTCCTCACAATCACTTTCCATTTCTGTGACACCTGGAGTTAGCCTCCAGTGCTTGCTAAGGGATCTGCTTTGCTGGCTCCATTTTCTAACCTAACCATTAAGAGAGAGAAAATCACACAAAGCTCCCATAGATTCTAGTGTGTAACAACACATTTACCCAAACTCCCTCCACTCCCTGATTATTTAATGTGTCCTCGTGGGCATTAGGTGCAAGTAAGCATGAAGACAAACTAACAGCCAATGCTGAGGGGAACATTGTGTGTCCAGTGAGGGAGCTGTGGCATAAAGTGACACAACAGCTGAAATTGTTGAAAAGGAGGATGGAATTAGTGGCAAAAGTAGGGTGGTATAGAGAAAAAGGAAAACGAGGAGATATTAATGGGAAATACATCTAGGAGGAAAAAAGGTCGCAAGAAAGTAGGAATAAATATTACATTGGGTTAGGTGTGTATAGAAGGAAGGTGTGAAATAAATGAGATGACGATATGGGATGTTATACAATTAATGAATAAGGGTCTGTTGGACGAAGTCAGGCTGTGAGAGGAAGGTGAACTAACAGCTGTCAGGTCTTTGGATGTCCATTAGTTAAAAATGTGAGAATGGGTCAATGTTTCAGAACAGGCATTACCCTGAACTGCTAAAAAGCCTTCTTTAATCATGTCAAACACACACTGCAAGCCACGGGAACTATTTATAGAAGCGCAGGTTACGTGCCGCTGGCAAAATCACACACAGACACAATAAAATCTCTTTTCTTTCCCCTGATGCCTCTTCTCTCTCCCATCACATGGAAGTAGCTCTCTGAACAAACTGACCTTTAAGCTTAAAAAAAAAAGGAAAAAAAAGAAAGTTGCAGAATGTGGAGATTGACAGCCGATCAACATATAATTAGACAAGCAAAGACATACTGATCAGAACAGCTTCTTATACCGTGACAATGTTAAACGCTGACAGCGTTTTCTTCTTGTCAGTGGTGCAAGGGAAGATGCTTGTCAAAGTAAGACACCTTACGTTCAGATTTCACCAGTCACATCAACACCATCCATCCATATCTCTCTAAAAAGACAATAAATGTTCTTACAGCCTGTTGTATTTTACATTAAAGTCCAACTGACAGGGATGCCATCTAAATCCATACTACGGTAACTCATCAGCTCACTGACCTGGCCCCTGGTTAGCCCCCACAGAGTCCCACAGAGTACATCAGGCTATGCATTAGTGACTCACCGGGTCTTTAGCTTGCTGCGCTAACACGGCGTAGGTGGATATCCTGCTGCACAGGCATTTGGTGTGGACAGTGGTTGACGCGAGCGTTTGGCAGCCTTCTGTGCCCCAGTTCTCTGCGCCAGCTTCCCTGGAGGTGTGGAGAAGGGGGGTAGAGGCGGGTAGGGGAGGTGGCACAGGGGACATAAACAGTGAGCGTTAGACAAATACACACAGAGAACTGTCCCATGACTAAAACACGTCTATAGTAAGTTTCCAACTCAAGGTGGGTAGAACGTTTTCAGAGCGTAGACATTCTTCACCATCAAGTTCACCAAGTTTACACATTAACTCTATAGGTTTAATATGCAGTGATCACCACTCCCCCCCCCCCCCCACACACACACACACACACACACACACTGACAGGCTCTTACACCATGCTGGCATTAGAAGCCAATGTCACTCCATTTGCTCTTGAGTCTTCTCTGTGTTTAGCACCCCAAATATTTTCTTTCTCATCTTTGGTCCTTTATTCCATCTCCCCTTTCTTGCCAGAATACTCTTAAGAGACTTGAGGCCTTGAGGACAAATGAAAAGGGTTGCATCAACAGTTTACAAAGACCAGGGAGCTTAAATGGTGTATGGGCTTTATTTAGCACTAAATGGTCAATTGCTTTGACAGGCAACAAGTTACTGTGGAAAAACGCCCAGATTCTCATACAATTGAACCTTCTACACTTCCTTGCCCTACATCTTTGTCATCTTCTCCTTGTTTGCCCCGATCAATAAGATTTTAACCGAACTAATCACCCTGGTGCTACACATTAACCTCATGTTTTAACCTGGATATGCTTCTATTCTAGTCTCCAGAGACAGATGGAAACATTATGGGAGATATAAGAGCAGGTACAGAGATGTTCCAATGGGGTCAAGAAGGCCAACTTCATGATTGCTGCATAAAGAGCTTTCAGTCCCAGTTAATGGAGGCAACAGAGGAATTATGTCACTGTTTCTGCATAACTGCATTAGCTGCTGGTCTCGGTACGTAGGAACAAGGGGATCTAGAAGAGGAAACCTCAGCAGAATGCAGATTACATTTGTTCTTTTTCTTCTTTAAAATTTAAAATATAAAGATTTGTAGAGCAGAAAGATCTGTATGAAATGCAATCATATTGCAGACAGCACGGTGTACAGTGTTGGTTCACCACTAATGCTTTAGTGGAGATCTTAATTACCCCCTCTCAAGCTAATAGCAATGAGAACCCTCAACAGCAGATGGAGAGATATTTAATCAAGTGTTGCCTATATAAGGACTTTAACATATTAGTATTTGAATAAAATCTGCAAGCTTCAAATCATTCAACATACAAAAAATATATAGGCTTTGAATGGCAATATTTTATATATGAGCATCATTTATATCTCAAGGGAAGGCTTTGGTGACAGTTTCACTTTATGTGAATGATAAGCTGGCTTGTTGCATTTCTGATATCTTACTGTAAGAAACATTGTTTATGTTACCCTGCCTTTGGAGAACAGACAGACAGATTGCTTAACATCTAAAATTTGAATTGAATTTCAAGATATTGTTCTAAGTATAAGTATACTAAGCTAAATAACCTAAGCTAAATAACCTAAAAATAATAAAAACTCTTATAGTTGCACTATGGATTACTAGAGGTACTCCCTTACCTAACTTATTATCATTATTATAAGGATCTTTTCTTCATGAACATGGTTGTTTATTTATTTCTTATTTATTTTTACTATACCAGCACATCCTGCTCTGCTTTCATTTTCACATAGCATTTTATTTTTGAATGTAACAATGAAATCCAAACACACATCTGTTAAAATATATTTCTAACTTTTGCAGCTGTGTGCTTTTATTTTGGAGGTTAGATGCAAAACACAGAAGTCTTGGATTGATTTTATTTGTCTGCTGAGTTCATAATTTATTCTTAAAAATCAAGTATTTTTAATCAGTAGAAACTGAATGAACTAACATGTTGATTTGTCTCTGCATCTTGTTTAAAAATGTAAAAAAGAAAAAAGAAAAGAAAAGAAAAAAAAGTCACACAGTCATATTTTGGATTCTTCTGCTGTCAATCAAATAAAGCAAGCGAACGGTTAAAAAAAGTAAATGAACCACCCGGCAATGACAACATGTTAACCGCAGAACAGTACAATACATCACTCAAGAATAAATATACTTATGCTGTGACAGCCCACTCAAACATGATCAGTCTGACTCTAAATGACAAGAATGTGTCAGCATTAATTCTCAAAAGTATATCTGAACACGAAGGCAAGCAGACAAACACACTCCCACAAACACGCACACGCAGCGACACTCAATTCCTAATGTCAGTAATGAGATGTGAGTACAATTCCCTAATGATCATAATCTGCACAGTGACACTTCAAAGACTGAAGATCGGAAAACGAGCAACAGCAGTGAAACCTAGAGACAGCTTGACAGGTAGCAGCATTGTGTGTCTCTGTGTGTGTGTGTGTCAGAGACAGAAATGGGAGAAAGACAAGAACAGGAAATATGGGAGACAAGAGATGTCATGTAAAGTATGACACAAATGGCTTTGTTCACACAAGTAAAACATAGCCATATGAGCTCTGACTACACATGCATTAATGATTGTGTGTTAAATGGGCTGACAGAGGGACATGCGAAGCATACAGCCAAACGGTCTAACTACATGCAACTAAAACACTGACATATCAAGTACTCTATGCCAGTCTGGCAGCAAAAATGACGTTGGGGTAATGAGAAACTGTCTGACAGCTCACAACAGGGGGTCGCTGCTAAAGATAACTTCAACACACATGCACAAATACACATTATCTGTGACCTCTATGTTTTGGCAGCTGAATTTCAAGCTTAATTGACTGCTGACCCCCATCTAGTTCAGCTGGATTTGATTGTTGGTATTGATGTATCAGCAAAAAGCCAGCTTTGACTTTTGTTCTGTTTTATTACATCCAGAGAGTTGGAACAAGCCCTGATCTTTGTTATTGCTGATCCACTACAGCTACAGATACCCAGTTCTGCTGTGTTCCCCGCTGGGCTCATAGATGTAATAGATTATCAGTCGGGTTTAGCTGACGAGGAAACATTAAAAGGACATGGCTTTTGTTTTACTTTTGTTATAGCACTTGAATGAGCCTGGAGCTGCTGCCGACTCCTCTTACCATGGAATACAGGGACCAGATGTACAAACAGGTGTACATATCAGTGCAGTTGGTTTATAGACTATGGATCCCAAATGTATACTGCAAAGACATAAACCTGGCAGTATCCAAACAAATGCTAAGATGTGTAAATATACGTAACACCATCTAGTTTTCTAGCATTGCGATATTCAATACATCTGTTGTTTGGTCTTGACTTTGACAAAGAATCAAGTTTTATTTAATGGGTGTTAGAGTTGGCTTGATTTTGACAGGTAGCTACCCCTCAGTATACACAGGGATTACAGTTTCCTCTGATCAACCTGAGCCAAAAACCTAACAAATATACTCAACATGACAGAGAGTCTACAGCATTCACTCTGTGAGGCTACACAGCAGTGCTTTGAGCTAAATGCTAATGTCAGCAAGCTAACATACTCACAATGACAATGCTAACATGCTAATGTTTAGCATGTTCATTATCTTAGTTTAGTGTGTTAGCATGTTGACATTTGATAATTACGTCCAATACAAAGTACAGCTGGGGCTGATCGGAATGTCAGTCCCACCAGGTGTTAGGTCATGAAACAAAGTGTTTAACACATTAAACTCATGGTGGCGCTAGTTGAGAACTGAGGGGATATAATTGGGATACATTATCAACCATCAATGTCTGTAAAGAATTGTGTGCCAATCCATTTGTATGTATGATGAAATATTTTACTGGATAAATGAACTCTTTGACCTGCTGGTGGCACTAGAGGAAAAATAAGGGGATATGCTGTGCTTGGCATTATTTCTCAGCAGTATGCTAAAACATGCACTTTGTACTGCAGTAACATATTTCTATGCCTTCTAATTTGTTCCCTAATTGCTTGTAAAATGCTGTTGTAGCTGCTAAGACAAATAGGAAAAATACTTCCTGAACAACAGCATAAATTGACCTTTTATGTCTACTGAGAATATATTGGCACCGACTCTTGACTGAAAGGGCAGAGCTATGAAAGCCAATTGCACCCTGTTAAGAAACAAAAAAAAGGTTAAACATGCTTTGAATTATTAAAATTGAAGGGCTTGATGCAGGGTTTTGAGCTGTATGGAAATAAAGCCACTGAAAAAGCAAGCCATCCATCTGCCTAACACATAGACATGATTAGTGGTGTGTTGCCAATGATTCTCATCCAAAGCAACTTTTTATCACTGCTAAGCATTTAAACCAGTTTTACATGCGAATGTGCCGTTCTACATAGCTGTCATTGATGTAATGAGGATTAACATTATCAGCTAATTTTAGCTGCTGGCAAACACTGTCAAAACTGATTTATGAGATGACTGTAGCCAAAGAAATGTAGTTTAGTTGTAAAACTGAATGCCTTGTGTCCATCACTCCGTCATTGCTCATTTCTGGCAAAATGGGCAGAATTTGGGTTTAATTATATGCCTTTTTGTCATCTGTGGTCAGAAAGCAGACAAGCAAAGCAATTACAGAGGAGAAAAAACTCAAAATGAGGAAGGCATAAGGCAAAAGGCAAAACATGCAAAGAGATGCAGAAATAATCGAGGGATTGTTGTAAAGTCTTTAGAAGACAGTAGATATAGGTTTATTATTAAGCGTGCGATATTGTAAAGTCACTGAGCAAATTGCCGCTGGTACAGTATAATTTGATGTTCTAATGTGCTTTTTTGAAAAGACAACTTCATGTGTAGGCATTGTTTAAAACAGAGTGAGAGTTGGCGATACACACTGCACAGAGCTAATGAGTTATAGACAGAATGACTATTGGGAGGGAGAGGGCTTGTGGGAGAGGGATTTTAAGGATCATGGAGGTAAGTGGCCTCAAGTATACACCAATAGGATCAATGACCATCCCTAACTAAAGCATGCTTGTTGTCATAGCTTAGTTGCTTAATGCAGCTTATATGTATTATTTAACACCATTCTATCTCATGCCTCATATACTA